CCTGGAAACTTCTCCCATGTCTTCTTCAGACAGTGAATGGCATGCAGTAAGGAGAAGCTCCTGAGGATCCAGCATTCCTGGAAATGCGGGGAGAATGAGCTGTGAGGGGAAGTTCTGCTTTCTCTAGCTGAGCCCACTATGTACACCTGCTCACTGGACTAATGGCTCTGGTCAAGTGAGTTCTTTGTAATCTCCCCACCTGCCATCTCTGAGCACCCTGAGTCCTTTGGAGCCCTATGGACACCCCCCCTCCCATGCAATCAGGTGGGTCTGCAGGGAACTGACCTGGTGGGCCTGGAGACCCTGGGAAGAAACAATTGCTCTTCTATCTTTCCCTTTTTAGCTTTAGAATGTATTGTCAAATTTTTAACCTTCACAATTTTGTCATATTATGACTGAGCCTGAGCCTATTTTCATATATTTAAGGCTATTTATATTTCTTTCCCTATAGACTGTGGTTTCATGTCTTTTGCCAAATTTCCCATGGTATGTGTGTTCTTTTGCTAATTGATTTCTAGGAACTCTTTAGGTATGAGGGATGTGACCCCTTTGTAATATGAATTGCAAATATTTACTCCCAGTTTATAATTTCTTTCTCTTTCATTAGGAATTTTTGGTCAGTTTGGTGGTGTTTTCATCTTTGTTTTTGGTGTGTGTGTTTGCTTGTTTTGCTATGTGTCATTTAGGTGTCATTTCTCCCCAAACTGATATTTAGGTTCATATAGCTGCAGTAAATTATGTCAGCAGTTGTCTTGTGGACATTAACTGCATGATTTCAAAATTTCCATAGAAATACAAGTGGCCAAGAATAGTCAAGACAATCTCAAAGAAGAACCAACTTGGAGGGCTTACACTACCAGATGGTAAGCCTTAGTATAAAGCAACAGTAATCAGGGCAGTGCGCTATAATAGTGCAAGGACAGACAGAAGGAGCAAAAGAAAGAGTCCAACTGAGACCCACACATATGAACATTTTGGATATATCAAAAGAGGCACACAGAATGATGGAGAGAAGATAGTCTTCTCAGTACATGGCCAGTGTCATTGATTATCCATATGGAAACAAAACTAATCTTGACTCCTACCTCCCATCATAAACCAAATCAACTAAAGGTGGGTTTTAAATCTAAATATGTAAGCTTAAAACAATAACATTTGTAGTAGATAATGTAGGAGAATATTTTCATGACCTTGGGCAGGCAAAGATTTCATAGGGTATAAATTACATTATTAAGATAAAAATTAATAAATTGGACCTTATTAAGAATTTCTCTTTACTTTCCAGAGAATTAGAAGGCAAGAACAGAATGGGAATAGACACTTGTCATATATGTATCTGGGAAAAAAGTATCAGATAGGATATGTAACTGATTCCTATGAATTAATAAGAGAAAGAGGCAATCCACCAGAAAAAATGGGCAAAATATTTGACCAGATATTTCACAGAAAAATAACCAAATGACCAAAAAAAAGTATATAAAAGGTTACACAACATCATTACTCACCAGGGAAATGCAAATTAAAACCATAATGAAACACCACTACACGTAAACAAGAATGGTGAAAATAAATACTGACAGTGCCAAATGTTGATGAGGATGTGGAGCAACTGGTGTAAATGCGTACAACCACTTTCAAAAACTCTTGTAGTATCTGCTAAAGATGGATTTGCACATACTTTATGACCCCCAAATCCCACTCTTAGGTAAATACCCAGTTTAAATGCCAACATATGTTCACCATGCTAAAGAATGGTCACAGCAACCTGATTTGGTAATTTTCTAAACAGGAAAGAAACCAAATGTGCATCAATAATAGAAAGGATAAATAAAATGGGGGCATTTAAAAAATAATGGGGTGCTATACAGAAATGAAAAGGAACTTAGAGCCACATTAAAAAATGTTTGAAACCTTACAAACATATGAAAAAAGTCTGATGTAAGGGAGTACATTTGTATGATTCCATTCAAATAAAGTTCAAAAACAAGCAAAACTAATTCAGAAGTTAGAATATTTGTTATCCTTGGGAAAGAGAGGGCAGTGACTTGGAATGAGTAGATGGGCTCCTAGAGAATTGGTAATGTTCTATTTCTTGGGGGTACTGGTTACCAGGTATGTTACCTTTGGGTAATTAATTAAGTTAATTAATTAAGTTGTACACTTATGATTTCCATCCTTTTTGGTATGAATGCTATGCTTCAACATGCAAAACCAATCCAGAATTTTTTTTCTGGTTAGTACCAAGGCCAGATGGCATGGTATTTGGTTCAAGACTCTGGAATTCTATGATTTTGGTTGATATCCTGGATCTAACCACTTCCTATCTTGGAGATCTTGGCCAAGTAATTCACTCTCTGAGCTTTAGTTTCTTCATCTATAAAATAGACATTTATGCTACCTGTGTATACTTATTAAGGGGATTAAATCCTCTCGAGTAGTATTCGTTCTTGTTGGTCCTTGTTGGTCTTTGTTCTATGGGCTGTGGAGAAATGGATAATGACCAGTGGAAGAGGAAGGAATAGATGAGACTCTAGTCAAGAGATATTTTTGGAGTGCATGGCCGACTCAGTCCATAGAGCACTGATTTTTTGTTTAAAAATAAAATCTTAAAAAAAAAAGAAAGGAGACATTTTCAAGGTGAAGACTGAGAGGGATGATACGATGGTGAGGTGCAGAAAAAGAGTGCAAAGGCTTGGCTCCACTAAGGATTCCACTAAGGTCCACTCCCTGTCTCTCACCTCCTGCCCACCTCTAACATGGGGCAGGAACCGACCAGGTGATCTCTGGCTGGTTAGTCTTCTGGCTATCACACTGCAGAGTTGGAAGGGCAATGCAAATGGCATCCAAAAGCCAAACACAAATTCCCACGTTTGATCCAAATTCAAACACAAAGACCCAAACTCAGGAGTTAAGGGAGGTAAATTCTCAGTGGTGGACTATGGGTTATTTTTACATTCTCCATGGAATATTTTTATATTTTATACAATAAGTGTGTTTCTTACTCAGAACAAAACACTGAACATGATATATCTGTGCCTACATATTTATATCTGTATATGTAAAAAATAAAAATAAAAACCCAGGTTATAGATGTGCCAGAAACTGGAATCCAGAAAATATCTGGACAGGGAAAACATTGCTTCTGATGTGCAAGGGCCTAACCAGCAGGATGTCCTGAGACAAGACATCCTGTATGGATGACTGCAAATAATTCCTGCACATTTCCTGTTGGGGGGGGGTAGAGTGTGTGTGTGTGTGTGTGTGAGAGAGAGAGAGAGAGACAGAGAGAGAATCCTAAGCAGGCTCTATGCCTGGAGCAGAGCCTGACATGGGGCTCAACCCCAGGACCCTGAGATCATGACCTGCACTGAAATCAAGAGTTAGATGCTCAACCCAGGTGCTCCCACATGTCCTAGTTTTTACTGTGGTTTTCACCCCTTCCCTCAGTTATCTACACTTTCCTCCTTTTCCAGCTAAAATTAGTTCAATATTTCACCTTGTTAATAAAACCCAGGACCAAAAAAGGGGAATAAAAGGGTTTTCCACCCACTGTTTTTTAATTTCTGAAACTAGTCTGAATGGAATGATCACTTGCTGTAGGAAGTTGTAATAGGGTGCATTTACTAGCAATTGGAACAGAGATCTCTGCTAAGGGGAGGAGTTTTCTTGGGAGTTAGGTACCTCACAAAGCGCAGAAAACCTTCAAGTCAGGTTCAGCGATAACCCCGTGTTGTCAGGTCTGGCCATGTAGGACTCTGGCTGGTTGTGTGGGAAAGGGACAAACTCTAGGAGTGTCAGATTAGGACATTCCAGCTATGCATGCATTTACCCAGGGAACAGTCACTGTGTCTGAACCATGTGCAAGATGCTGTGCGAAGGGCAACTGAAGCTGAATCAGAATTAGTGACCATATACCTGCCCTTCAGGAAACACCTACTCTAGATGTTCTGAGCTCTGGTATTTGTCAGCAACCACCATACAAGCACATCCAGAGACAAGAGAGGGGTCGGGGGTGAGGGAAGTGAGTGGCCGGAACACTTGCCACTGGTAGTGGAAGGCTGGCTGGGTCTGGGATGTGTAGATGCCAGCAGAGGAGCAGGGTGAGGGAGGCCAGGGGGGCAGGGCAAGGGGGCATATGCAGGAAGAGTGGAGAGTTGGCTGAAGCAGGAAGGGTCCGGGTGGGGGGAACCAGACGTGGGGGCTTCTGTGCTCATCTAGGACTGGGAGTTGGACTTGGCAGGGGCTGCAGAGTTGGTGAGGGACTTTTGAGCCAGAGAGGGCAGGGCAGAGTGCTGGTAGGAGGGTGATGGGGTAGTTAGTGGTGAGGAGGATGAATGGAACTCAGAGTTTTAGAAAATAATCTTTTCATCCTAATTCCAGACAAGCCTGAGGCCTGAATTCTGAGCACTTCATCTTCAAGAAGATGGTCTTTTTTAGAGATGCATTCAGCTTCTTACAGTCAAGCACTGTGCTAATAGTTGACAGCACAGGTTGGTTTTAACCTAGCAAAGCAGATGGGATGGATTTTCTTGACTACCATGGCTGGGAGTTACAGCTCCTGTTCTCTTTCAGTTTCAGAACATTCAGCATGCTGCTCTGGAGGCTCCTGAGGTGCCCCCTGGCACCCAGGAAGAACTGGCAAGGAGGAATGGGTTTCTTTCTTTTCCTTTTTAATTCGAGTTCAATTTGCAAGATTTTATTCATTCATGAGAGACACAGCAGAGGCGTAGGCAGAGGGAGAAGCAGGCTCCATGCAGGGAGCTCGATGTGGGACTCGATCCCAGGACCCCGGGATCACACCCTGGGCCAAAGGTAGATGCTCAACCTCTGAGCCACCCAGGCGTCCCTCGGGTTTCTAACAGTTTCAGGGCTCCGCTCCCTGGGCCACGGGCAATCCCCGCCCACCTCGGAAAGGAAGTGAGGGCGGGGCCGGCGGGGCTCCCCCCCCCCCCTGCGTTGCCTTGGAGACCAAGTGCGTCCAGCTGCAGTTGAGGCTGGACCGGGCCTGGCTGACCGGAGTGGTGCCTTCTTGCAGGTGGGATGCCGGGCGCCGGGGCTCAGGGCCTCCCCCCTCGGCCGGGCTCAGAGGGCCAGGCTGGGGACCGTCCCCCACCCCCAGGCTCCTCCGTAGGCTGGCGGGGCTGGTGGCGCAGAGGGGCCTGCTGGGTCTTCTCAGCCTATAGTAGGTGCCTAATTAGCATGGCCAGAGTCAGGCTGCGCCCTCCCTCCGGTGCCCCCTCTCTGTGTCCACTCTTGGCGGGGAGTGGCGGAGGGGGCCCGGCAAGGGTCCTTGTAACCACGTTGAGCTCCAGGTTGGGAGTTCAAGGCCAGGTTGAAATCCAAGCTGACACCTTGGGCATGCTGACTTTTCCCAGGAAAGCTTGGGACAGTGAAGCACAAAACAGTAATTTGTCATTAATCTCTGCCCCCAAAGTCCCTCTGGGATTTGCACCCTGCGCAGCGGGAAGAGCCTGCCTTCTCTGAATTCTGCTCTTGCCTGAGGTTTGTTTCCTTTTGGCTTCTTTGCTCCTCCCCTCTTTTTGTTTAAAGTGAAAACCCCATGCCTGAGCTGAACCCCATGCTTTCTCTCAGACAGTGGGGTGGGTCATGCCCCAGCCGGGTGGCCTAGATGGGTCTGGTCCTAGGCAGAGGACTTGTCCTGGGGTTGGGGTGTCAGTTTTTCAACCTCTGTGGGTCAGAATAGAGATCAAACCCCAGACAGGATTCCTGGACAATGAATTCCCAACAGGGGTGTCCAGCCAGCAGCCAAGGTCAAGATGTCCTCAGTGGGGAAGGTGACCCAGGTTCCCAGCGGGAAACTCTACCAGCAGATCTTCGAGGCTGAGGTAGGTCTGACCCTCTTCCCTCTGCTCCCCAAACTTTCCTCCTGCTGAAGGCTTTTGTCACCTGGGAATCCAATGAAATAAGGCTTTGAAATTGCTTTCATTTTAAAAATAATTCTTATTGGTTCTTAAAACATAGGAATACAAAATTAGAATCTCTATTCTTGAAAAGCAAAGAATTTACATTAAAATTGTAATTAAATTAGATTAAATTTAAGCTTAAATTATTCAGAAATAGCCAGAATTAACCACTGGATATCTTAGGGCCTTTTTCTATGCACAAAAGCATTCCTAGTTTTTTTTTTTCTATTTAAAAATGGGTTTGATTCAATGCCAGTGTTTTGAAACCTGCTTTTCCCCTATTAACAGTTTCACACAGACCTTCCCCATGCCAAGAGGCAGTCATGTATTTCAGGATGCTGAGAGGTTGCCTTATTGTTAATCTAGGACTTACCATAATGTATTCAAGTAATACCCTCTTGACAACCATATAGGTTGCTGGGATTGCCTTGTTGTCTATAAAAAGCCTATAAAAAACTGCACGGACAAGATATCTTAAAAGAAACACACAAACTCGAACCCTTCCTTTGAAGTTCTGTAACTGCTTATTTAAAAGGGAGTTTTCATTCCTACTTTAAGCCCTAAATAATGCTTTCTGTAGAAGACTTGGAAATTGTACAAGCATAAGGAGCGCACAGAAACAAATTACTCACATGATCCTGCTGCCTGGAAGCAACACACCATTCTTCACATTTAGCACACTTTCTCTGGGTCATTTTTCTAAGAGTTGAAAGTTTTGAAATCATACTGTATAATTTTGGTTATAATTTTTAATTTATGCTTTTAATTGATGTGTTTTGTGGTATATCAAAAGCATTTCCCCATGTCATAAAAAAAGCCTTTGTTCTTAATAAATACCTAACATTCCATTGAAAGTCATGGCAAGTTTACTCAACCAGTCCCCTAAAATTGGACAGCCCCATTTTTCTAATTCCTTGTGATTATGAAAGATGCTGGCATAAGCGTCTTGGCCCTCATTAAAATTTCTTAAGAGATATCTTTCTAGATGGTTGAATATTTGGGGGTGGGGTGCCTGCATGGCAAATACCCTGGCGTTGAAGGCCTCCCTGCAAAGTGTCTTCCTTCTGGCAAGTTCCCCCGTGACCTTATAAGACTGCCTGGTCAGGCCAGGGTGCTGGAGAGTGGATGTTTTGGGATGTTTGGGGAATCCACTGGGATCTTTTGTGGATACAGGCACAGCTGGTCCGCTCTCTGGCGGCCACCAGGAAGCATGCTGTGGAGCGGTCCATGACCCCCAAAAATGGCAAGAAGCCTTTGATGAAGAGGATGGATATCCCTGAAGGGGAGATATTGTCTGCTCGGCAGCAGAAGTGGGCACACAGCCTACCCAATGACTGGATCACAGAAAACCCTGTTCTCTACAGGTAGGTCCTGTGGTCCACACTGCACCTCCACACACTGGTGGTGTGTCAGAGTCTTCAAAGACTCAGAAAGATCTCATGCAAGATGAGGGCCAGGTAGGAATGAAGTCCCAGGTACCTCTTCAGAAAGAGAGAAGTAACAGCACCTCCTTTGCAGAACTCTAGGCTTCTCCCTCCATTCCTCTTCCTTCCTCCTCAGTAATTACTGATTGAGTGTCAGGGCTGGGTGCTGGGTATGGGATCCCACTCTCCTGGAACTTGAGGCCTTGATAGTAAATAAAAAAACAAGTCCCCCCAACGGTGGGAAGACTCTGACCCAGAGGATGAATGGGGGCCCAGAAGTCAGGAAAGCCCCTGAGACCAGAGGATGAGGGAAGGGAAGCATGGGGCAAGGCTCTGAGGCAGGAAGAGCTCAGTCCAATCCAGAAGGCTGAAGAAGTCAGTGGGCCTGAGGAGAAGGGTGGGAGATGAGGCTAGGAGAGGCTTGCTGACCACAGTCGGGATTTTGGACTACTGAAGTGAGCACTGATTTACCTTTCTGAGGCCTTCTGGCTGCCGTGTGCAGAATGTGGGGAGCTGCAAGAAGAGGCAGGGAGGCCAGAGAGGAGGCTGCTGCTGTCACTATAAGCCTGGTGGGGCTGCAAGACAGAGAGTAGGTTACTTCACATATATTTTGGAGGCAGAACCCACCAGACTAGGTTGTGGATTGGATGGGAGGAGTGGGCTCCTGAGAGTCCAAGGTCTGTGGCTTGAGCACTTGCGTGGACAACCAAGGCGCCATTCCTTGAGATGGGTGGCTATGGTATTGGGGCTGGAGACTGGGAGTTCCTCCTGAACCTCCACATTTAGAAGTTGAACTTGAGATTCCTGAGCTCAGACTCCTCAAGCAGGGAAAAAGGAAAGAAGAGGGAAAAGAGAATCTGCATCTACCTCACCGGGGCACTGGGGCTGAGCTTCCCTTGGCTCTCCAAGCTCTGCACAAGCCATAGACCCTTCCCTGGTCTGGGGCTCTGAAGGGGAAGTCAGTCTTTCTCTTCCTGCCTTTGTTTTCTCCCTCACCTACTTTGGGGCAGAGATTGAGCCAATGCTGGGTAAAGGTCTCTGCCCTGACCTACCTTTGACTTTTCCCAGGGAAATCTCCCCTGAGGTTTCTCTTCTCTTCTCTTCTCTTCTCTTCTCTTCTCTTCTCTTCTCTTCTCTCTTCTCAAGATTTTATTTACTTATTCATGGGAGACACAGAGAGAGAGGCAGATACATAGGCAGAGGGAGAAGCAGGCTCTCTATGGGGAGCCAGATTCAGGGCTTGATCCCAGGACTCCAGAATCACAACCTGAGCCAAAGGCAGGTGCTCAACCACTGAGCCACCCACGTGTCCCTCTCCTGAGGTTTATGACCCTCAGCACCTTTAGCTACCTCCAGATGGGCAAACCCACTGGTCACCGAAGCCCAGACTAGAAGTCAGTGTTCTCTAGGCCCTGTACCTGATGCCCAGTGCAGGGATCCAGAGGCACAGAGGTGGGTGCCAGCCGATGTACCCCTACTTCCCAAGAGGACTGTCCTGCAGCCTGGCTGTAACTCTGACTCCCACAAGGGTCTAAGCCCCCTCTCAGCTGACTTGAGAGTTACCTGTGCCTCCCACCAATCTCCGCTTCCCCAGGGTTTAGCCTAGGACCGCCCGTTATCCCATAACCAGATAGAGCATCAGTCAGGAGCTTTTTGCCCCACAGGACAGTGTTTTAAGAAAGGCACTTCTCATGGAAGGTGCTGGCACTGTGCTGTGCTTGTTTTCTGGAACAGACAAAGACAGCTCTGCCCTGGACCCAGATCCAGAGGACACCTCCCTGTGGCCTGTGGCAGGAAGAAAGATGTGTTTGTAACCTGCCAGGCTATGCTGCCCTCAGATGACTAGGGTCACTGACTCAGCATTGGCATCTCTCTGGAGGGCCTTGTCCCCTTTTTGAAAATTCAGCCAGCCAAAGCCAACCAGTTTGTTCCTTCACCCAGGGCAGGACCCCTGGGTGAGTGGAAGAGGAGCCCAAGGTAGGGGTAGAACAGCACCAGTGTCAAGTTCTTGGGTCAAGTGGCCGAGAAGCCAGAGCCATCAGCATTCCTGTAGTCAGAGTACCTGGGGCTCCCATGGGCACCTAACTGACAAGGTAGAAAGACCCACCTCTGGAGGGTCAGCCCAGGCCCTGTGATCTTCCTCGCTAATAAGGCTGCAGTGAGGACTGCGTGAGAAATGAGTAGAAAGCACTGCACATGTGGGGGCCCTGAGGCATGACAGGTGTCGTTGAGACCTGTTGTGTTTCTGTGCTGTTTGTCCTGTAGACAGTGTTATTCCAAAGCTAAGGTCATGCTCACCCACCCTCGTCCTCCCTGCTGAGATACTTGACCACCCTGGGTCTTAGCTTTCTCCTCCCATGCTGAAACCCCATGGACCATGGACCTTGGCCTCTCACATGGGTCTAGGAGTCTCAGCTCTGCTTTGTACCGTGACTTCTCTAAGCCCCCTCCCCCATCCTGCACAATGGGGTTACCCCAAATGCCTCATAGGATGGGTTGCTGAAGGAGCAAATGCTAAATGCTTAGCACTGGCCTGGCTTTCCCAGGATGGCCACGCCCCTTCTGGTCCTCAGTTTCCCCATGGAGAAAGGGCTCTTGCTTACTACCCACACTTGGTTTGCGGCTAGAGCAGAAGCAGACTTTGATTATGTGTCTAGGGACCGTGGAGCCTGCTGGCAGTAGATACCTGGGCAGTGTCTGTTGGGAGATGGGTACAGCCTCAGGGCTGTCTGGGACAGGGTAGGCCTGGGTTATCGCCAATACCCAGGATCCCTCTGAAGATTCCCTTCTGTGCCAGAGGTGCCCTGGTGTGGGGGAGGTAGCTGGGGGTTTACTGTCTTCTCTGCTTGTACTTCAGGGAAAAGGAAATGATCAAGAAGAAAAAATCTCAAGAAAGTGAGAGCACTGCTGCTGCCCGAGAGGTCCGGGGCCTCATGGACACCATCGGTGAGCCTCTGTTCAACTTTGAGAGCAGGCCTGGCTTTCTCCCCTCGGCCTCCTTGCCCGAGCCTCTTCTCCTGGGCCTTCTCCTCAATGCAGGGAGCTGGGGAGGGAGCAAGGGGCTCTGCACACTCAGCATTTACTGATGAAAATCAGTAATGGATGTTGCTTGCTTTACTGCAATGTCACAAGAGGATCTCAGTCTACATTGTCTTCATACTATGGAGGAAGACTTTTTCTTCCTAATTAAAAAAATAATAAATGCTCACTATAAGTAATTTCTACACGCAACGTGGGGTTTGAACTTATAACAGGCACCCCCTAGTACATGCTTATTGTGGAAAAACAAAAGAAGGAAATAAGCAGAAAGTAAAGATTCTCCCTTCACATAGCACTGCTTCTCCTCCCAAGAGTGTCACCCGCTGTGAAACCACATGGGGCATATGGTGTTGAGGTTCCCACATAGATTCAGGGACAGCAGAGCACAGGGCAGGAACGCACACCCTAGAGCACACATCCAAACCCCTGCTCAGCCACTGACTGTGTTTGTTCTTTATCCTCCATGTCTGAGTGTCCTAACTTGTAAAATGAGGCTGATAAAATAGAACTTGCCTCTCGGCCTCTTCAGGAGTGCTAGTTGAGTTAGAACAATGCCTGGTACTTGGTAAGTGCTATCTAAGTGTTGGTTATTCTTATCTGTATATGTATTTGCTTCCATAAAACTTTTTTTTTTTAACATAAATGGTCCCATCCTATACGTACTGTTTGGAAATTTTTTCTGGCATTTAACTGTTGAAGCAAGACTTCGTTTCTTATAACGCTTAGGGATCACCTTTGTCTTTTCTCCTTTTTCCTTAAGCCTCTGACACTGTGGCCTGGTTTTGGGGTCATTCTCCTGAACCAAGGCATTTTCTGCCTTGCTGACTTTTCCTGGGCACTCTCTTCTTGCCTTGAAACTCTGAGGACAGCCTCCTCACCTCTGTTGTTCTTCCCCAGTTCCTGAGAGGATCTGCGCCACCTCCCTGGGGACCACCGGTGTAGACTCTAAGAGGCAAGGCTACGAGAATGCTCTGGGGAGCTTTAAGGAGGAGATTGCTCAGATTGGGATGGTGAGAGTCCTCCCTCTCTCCCCTTCTGTTCCCGGGCCATTCCCAAGGTGGGCTTGTCACGGCACCTACCCTCCTAACCCCTCTCCTCCAGCTCAGAGGTCCTGAGTGGCTCACAGTGGTGTAGACAGAATCAGAGTAGCCATGTTTGAGTGGCTTATCATTAGTGCTTGTTATGAGCACAGCTCTCTGAGTCAGGTACTTTTTACTCCTACTTTACAGGTGAGACCCAGAAGGTCTTGCATGACTTGGCACATAAGGGGTCAGGTGGAAACTGGGCTCCAGGGCTGATGCCAGAGCCCAGCCCTTGAGCTCCCTGCTCAGTCCTGCTGGGGGGTACTCATCTTCCCACTCCCAGCCAGTCGTGATTTCACTCATCTGTCCCAGGTGTACATGAGCTCTACTTTTGCCCATGACTCTGGGGCTTTGGTTGTGCAACATAACTGAGCCCCAGTTTCCTCATTGGAAGTAAACTTGGAATTCTATCACTGGCCACTTCTTTAATGAATATTTGTTAAGCCCCAACCACGGACCTGGCCTGATGTCAGCACCTACTTCATGGGCTGTGATGAGGACCAAGTGGGTCTGAGGACAAGGGATCAGCCAGGAGCAGAGCACCCAGCACTGAATAAATGGTGCCTGACCTTGTGCTCAGGCTGTGAACTAATTAGTACACCATACCTCCTCAGGCCTAGGTAATGATTATCAGTTTGAGGCAGGACCACACCTGACACTTCCCCATCACAGGGTAGGGGGTGGTGGGGAAGGGACACTCCCCCACCCCCAACCCATCCTGGTGGTGTCAATACCATGGCCATTGCCCTACTGGCCTGTTTTAGGAAATGGAACCCTTCATCTTGGAGCCAGGAATACTTCTTTTAAAAAAGCTGGCCAAGTCTAATGAAGACATGGACCAACTCTTCAAAAAGGTGGAAAGCAACACCAACCTCGAAGACTACACCATCCAAGTAGGGGTTCCCTTGTGGCCAGGCCTGTCCCACCCAGGTCCTGCTCTTTCCTTCCCTGCCATCTGTCCTCCTAGCCTGACCCTATGCTTCTTGGCATAGACCCTGTTGGAGCTGTGGGAGCAGGTGGCAGAGAAGTTCCAGGTCCAGAAGCAGAGGATCAAGGAGCTGGATGAGGCCCTCCACAAGGCTGAGTTCTCCCGGGCAGATAAAGTGAGTTGGCCTGCAGGTGGGCTTGTGGTGGTTTTCACCTGTGGGATGTGTGAGGCCTTGTCTGTATCCTTGTAGGTCTCCAGGAAAAGAGAGTCGCTAACAATGGCACCTTGTTTCTAGCTCAAAAGTGTGTTGAAGAAATACATGGAAATCATAGAGAAAACATCCTACCTCGTGCAGCCCGATGTGTACGGGCTGATAAATAAGGAAGCGATGGTGAGTGGTTTGCATGTACTACGGGATCAGCCCATAGGTGGAGCAGGACCTGAGGATGCCCCAGAGCCCTATGTCTCGGGAATGATGGTTTTCTCATGGGTCACATTTCCAAGTAACTCAAGCTGGTCACTTGGGTTCAGAACCAGAGTTAAGTACTTCCAATAGAAATCTTTCTAAAGTACATGGCAAACATCCCTGCTGTCTTAATCCCAGTTACCTAGCCCAGTGTCACTGGTTTGAGCACTGATGATTTTACAAGCACTACTGGGCCCCGTCTCAGCTTACCTGGGTGCAGTGCAGTAGGTGCTGGATGATGGAACTGTCCTGCCCTCAGGGTGGTTTTGTGCCCTCATTGGCGACCCCAGCCTGCTCTGTTTATTTTTCTAGTGGTTCTCATGTGCCTTCCTGTGGGCTGTCAGTGTCTACTGTTAAACCATGTCTACCTCCTGGCTCTGTCCCTGCTGCTTCCCTGTTCACACCCCACCCTTCCCCAGCTGCTTTCTTTGGGTGTAGAAAACAAGAAATTTGAGGTTGTCCAAAATGCCTCCAAAGTCAGAGTTAAGTCTGATTCCCCCGCCATGTGAAAGGACACCTATGTACATATGTACGTGTTTTCCTCAAGTGTAATTAGCACACAGTGTGATGTCAGTCCCAGGCGTTCAGTACGGTGATCCCGCGATCCCGTACATCACTCAGAGCTCATCGTGACTGACGTGCTGTTAATCCCCTTGGGCTGTTTCACCCACCCCCTGCCCACCTCCCCTCTGGTGACCACCAGTTCTCTATATTAAGAATCTGGGAGGTTTTTAGGCCTCTTTTTTTCTTTATTCATTTGTTTTGTTTCTTAAATTTTTTTTAAATTTTTATTTATTTATGATAGTCACACAGAGAGAGAGAGAGAGAGAGAGAGGCAGAGACATAGGCAGAGGGAGAAGCAGGCTTCATGCACCGGGAGCCCGACATGGGATTCAATCCCGGGTCTCCAGGATCGTGCCCTGGGCCAAAGGCAGGTGCCAAACCGCTGCGCCACCCAGGGATCCCTGTTTCTTAAATTTGACATGAGTCAAATCATGATATTTGCCTTTCTCTGTCTGACTTACTTAGCATTTCACCCTCTATGCCCATCCATGTTGTTGCTTCCTCTGGCTACTCAGGAGCACATTTTGCTTGCATGGGCTTCCAGGTCCCCTGCAGTAAGCAGGGCTTGCCAGATCATGGGCCTCCTGGCAGTCACAGGGTGAAAGGAGCACAGTGCTCAGAATCCCAGAGGGGCTCCGGGTCAGGTCTGCACCTCGGAGTCCTGGACAAAGCACAGACAGGGAGCTGACACAGACCCCCTGCTCCACTACCCAGATACACAAGCTCCTGAAATAAGTCCGTTCGTGTACCTTGAACTCCCTGTCCATAAAATGGGAGGAATGATGCTTAAAGACCAATACCTGTTGGGGGAAGGGGGTGGTAAAAGAGAGCTTAGCAGTGGCCTTGGTCATGTGAGACAAGCAAGAGTGCCTAACTTTCATCCAATGGATCTATTAGGGGAGTCAGAGTTAGCAGCATCCCAGGGATGTTTCATTGCTTGACTTCCACATGCTTATTTTACTCATTATAACAACTAGCACTGGCTACTTACTCTACGTGCATCTATCTCATTTAATTTCACAAAATCCCTGTGATGCCAATAGCAATAGCCTCACATGATGGCAGCAGAATTGGAGGCTTAGGAAAAACCTGCCAGTGCCCCCCAGCTAGGAAGTATAGCTGGCAACAAATCTCAGATTCCAGTGAAAATTGTTACTGGGATTTCTACCTGTTGAGCTTGGCAGGTTCTCACCCTTGCTCCAAGGTGGTCCCTTGAGGGCTTGGGGCAGTTATGGGGACATTTGGCTGTTGCACTCCTGGGGGCCATGGGAGAGACTGCTCTCAGAAAGGGGGAAGGCTACTCAGTGGCAGAACAGTGCCACAAAAATGAAGAATTGTCCCCACTGCCTTGCCAAGGATGCCCAGGGGAGGATCACTGGGAGGACTGTGGAAGAACGTTCTAGCTCTGGCCTCATTTGGCAATTGGGTCTTCATTCTCCTCACAACCATATGTGACTGGTCCCTGATGGCATGAGCATTCTGCTTTTGGAACAAATTCATAAAAAAAAAACCCCAAAAAACACAACCCAAACATTTAAACACTAAGAGCCCATGAGAGTGCTTATCTCCAGTGAACTAAAACCAGCTTCTTTAACAATCTGATATGGTCTTGGGACTGGGTTGAAGAAGGTACATAGGTAAGTCAGGATTCATAGGTAAGCCTTCAGGAAAGACCCCTGTCACTGACCAGGGCTGCTCAGCCCCTGGCAACTTCATCGAGTGTCCAGTGACCCCTCAGTGTCCCTTAGATGCCGCCACAGCCCTACTCAGCCCCACTAGGCCCCAGGCCCTCAGCCTGCACCTCACCTGGCCCCCCGCCGCAGCCCCCCTCCATCCCTCTCCAACCCAGCCCAGTTCTCACCTTGGAAAGCGTCTGCCTCGTGTAGAGCCTGCCCGCCTGTACCACAGGTTATAAACCAAGCCCTACTGGCCAACCGGAGGGCCATCGCCCAGCTGTTCATCAACCTGATGGAGGCCACGCTGCAGCAGGAGCTCAAGAGCCACCATCGCTGGCAGAGCCTGGTGGACACCTGGAAGGCTCTCAAGAAGCAGGTGCTGGTGCAGAGTTTCAGGTCTGTGACTGCCCGCACTGCCCGCAGCTCTTCCCTGGCCCACCTGGAAGGCTGGCACAGCAAGCAGGTGGCCCTGCCCTCCTATTTTCCATACTCCAAAATGCTGCTGTTCTTTTGGAGGGTAAAACCATGTGCTCTTTTTTTTTTTTTAAGGTACAGTAGATAACAATGTAAAGAAGAAATTAAAAATCACTATTAATCTCTCACCACAGGGAGAAGCACAGCTGATATTTTGGTATATTTCCTCCCAACCTTCTTTAGAGCCACACTGCATATGTCACTCTATATCTTATTTTCTTCATAAACATTATCACATAAGCATTTTCTGAGCATAGTACCAATTGTTTGAAAACATCTGCCTGTTATCTGCCCAATTTCCACTCTACTGTTACATGTAACCCTGTAGTACTGAGCTGAGAATGGTGCTCCCTTGGGCTTTAGTACTTCCTGGCCTCTGGTAGTTTCACCTCTGGGAGGGAGGGAGAAGGCCTATCTCCATGCTTCCTCCACCAGGTGGCATTTTTGTTAATCTGGCCAACAAGCAAGGCTTTCTTTTGCTCGTTGGGCCATGGTATCCATGGAGGACGGATGCCAAAGAATGTCTGTCCATCTGCACTGTGGGTCTGGGGAGGGGAGGCCCATCTGCACACCTGAATTTCCAGATGGAGAACCTCAGAGTCTGACACTGAGGATGAAAGAAAAGGCCTGGATGAAAGAAAAGGTACATCCTCATGGATGTACCGAGGCCTGGCTTCACCTGTATTTTCCCTGTGAACTTGATCAAGTACTTGAACGTTTTAGAGCCTTTTATTCCTTATGCAAGGCAGACATGATGATGGGCCAGTGTGAGGGTTTCTGTGGTTCTTTTCTCCCACTTCCCTCACTCCCTCCTTTCATCATTGTCCCAGAGGCCCCCAACGGGGAGGAAGCAGCAGGAGTGGTATAAGGGTGCTTAGGTTCAGAATGTCCTCACCATGCATCTCATCCCCATTCTCCCACCTCTCCTGCCCCTCTCCTCTCCATGGTGCCAACGCGTGTCTGGATGCCCAGTGAGTTCATGGCCAGTGAGAGGATCCAGGCTCCTCCGGCTGTGAAGAAGGAGATGGAGAGCATGCTGAAGAACCAGAAAGTCCTGCAGGAAAAGCGGCTGGAGCATCTCTGCACCATCTGGTACACTGGGAAGAGGCTGTAGCGAGGGATGCTATGGAGGAGGCAGGCACGGTCCTCAGCATTGACCATTCTCCTGAGGCATCCTCCAGGCCAGGCCATCTCCTTGTTCCCTAGTCCTGTGCTGGCTGCCTGGGCCCACTTTCTGGGGTGTTTCAGCCCTAATGGCAACAAAGAACACGACACATTTGCCGGGGAAGTCTAGTGTGACTGAGCCAAAAAATGTGGGAGGAGGCAGTGGCAAAGGGGGCGGGGAGAGTGGGGGTTGACAGGGAGAGGTTAAGGGGTTAGACTTTTTCCTAAGGGTTGGTAGGGAGCAGAGTGGCTCCATCAGCCTTGCAGTTTGGAGGGTAAGTTGGAGCGTCTGAGTCTGGAGCCTGGAAGTCAACGAGGAGGCTGCTGCCATTAGACAGGAACCCTGGATGCGCCCCTCAGACCTGGGCTCACCTAGCTCTGATTCCTTAATAAGCTGTTTGGTGAGGGGCACAGTGAATGTCCTAGACCCAGGAAGCCTTGGGAATCCTGTAGCATCCACTCTCAACAGCAGGATGGAACCTGCACAGACCTGCAAGTAGAGATGCTTCACGTGCTGGGAGATGCTCCTCCCCTTCCTGGGAAACTTGGTCCCGCCCACTCATAACCCTGGTAACCCTGGGTTACCCTCTGGTCCCCCCACCATAGCGCCTAAGTTCTCCTAGGATATCAGTGACAATTAGAACCCCACACAGTCTCCTCCAGGGCAGGCACATTTTTATGCAGGTGTAAAACTCACAAGGTGGATAAAAACCTCAGCATAAGGTAAAGTGTTTTTCTTGTTTTCTGTCACTTTTTCTGACTGAGTCCCTGTTTATTTATTTGTTTTTTAAAAATTTTATTTATTTACTAATGAGAGACACAGAGAGAGGCAGAGACATAAGCAGGAGGAAAAACAGGCTCCATGAAGGAAGCCCGATATGGGACTCGATCCTGGAACCCTGGGATCACGACCTGAGCTGAAGGCAGATGCTCAACTGCTGAGCCACCCCAGTGTCCCAGAGTCCCTGTTTATTAAACTGGGCCAAACTCAGTCTTTCTTGGGGTTGTATCCATTGAGGTGAAGCCACAAATCCCCACCCATTACAGACCTGGGGAAGGGGTCTGTTCCTCTGTATTTGATCCACCCACATGCCCTGGGGCAACCATCACAGCGTCTACACAGCTGGATGCAGGAATCTTGAGGAGGCTACTCTGCACCCTTGTGTCCCCACACCCAGGCAGCTGTTGCCCCCAGATACCTGGGTCTTAGAGCTGGCCCCCATGGCCTTCCACCAGGAAGGAGGACCCAGGCTGCCACTGCCAGGCAACTTCTGTCCTCTGAGTCTGCCCCTGCTCCCAGCCCCCTTCCTTTGGGTGAGGAGAGAGTCCTGGTCCTTAGTTCTTAGCTGCTCCCCTAGCCTCCCCCCCAGGACTCCTGGCCTACTTCCACCAAGGCTTCCCCTCCCCAGTGCTCTAGACTCTCCTGAAAAATTAGATTTTGAGAACCAAATCCAGAAAGATATCTAGGCTGCTGTCTTTTCTACCCTGCCACATCCCTTACACAGGCTGTGAACAGAGGGCTGGCTGGCTGGCTACCTGCCTGAGAGAAGGGAGGGACAGGGCCAAAGACATGCAGGAAAATGCATTTCCTGGTGTTCCTGGCCACTGCTGGGAAACGCCATGTAATCGCAGTGTCTGCATGCAGAGCATGGAGCTGGTGGGTGACTTGATCTGACCTGAGGAAGTTGAGGGCAACTCTATGAAGTCAGAGGCAAGAGTATGCATGTACAGGACCCAGCAGCTCCTCAGTGGGACTATAGAAAGGAGTAAAGCCAGGACACAATCTGTGTCTGGAAGTGTGTACTGCAAACACAAGCTCAAATGTAGAACTTAAAAGTAAAGTTGCAAGGGATCCCTGGGTGGCGCAGCGGTTTGGCGCCTGCCTTTGGCCCAGGGCGCGATTCTGGAGACCCCGGATCGAGTCCCACGTCGGGCTCCCGGTGCATGGAGCCTGCTTCTCCCTCTGCCTATGTCTCTGCCTCTTTCTCTCTCCCTCTGTGTGTGACTATCATAAAAAAAAAAAAAAAAAAAAAAAAAAAGTAAAGTTGCAAAGCCTTGAGCATAGAATTCCAGTCAACATCAAGAGCGAAGGTTTGGGTTTGTGGTTTGTTTGTACAAGAAGGTCTTGACAGCACCCTCAAAGCACACTGTTCAGACAGCCACCTATGTCTTCTTACCCTGTCAAGGAGCTAGGGAGCCTTTTAATCAAGCCCAAGGAGCCGTCCCAGGAACTGCCTCCTATGGGATTCCATACCCCATCCTGAAACCCCATAGTCCCAGACTTGCTTCTCTGCTCATGCAGGTGCTCTGCAGCCTGTGGGCAGTGATGTCACAGGACTGGAGTGTCTTGATAAGATTCCCATGGTTCCCAAGAGAGAGTTTTCCAAAGTCCTGGGAGAGTGCCCATGGATTTCCTAGGACCCAATGATCATGTGCATATCATTTAAAAATAATTTTTTACATTCAACTTTTATTTTGGAATAATGTTAGATTTACAGAAAACTTACAAAGATAGCACACAGGATTCCTGTATGCCCCTTAATTAGTTTCCCCTAATATTGTTCTCTTACATACAAAACAGAAATGAACTCGCATGCATTCCCATCACCTAGACACCAGGCATTTTCAGATTTTACCAGTTTTTCTACCACCGTCCTTTTTCTGTTCCAAGACTCATTCCAAGACACAATACTGCCCTTACTATAGTGTTTAGATGTGAGGATATGCCGTGCACACTATTTCAGTTGTCTTTTGTTCTTTACGGTTCCACCATAAGTAGGGTCCTTCATTGTCAAAAATGTCCCAGTTTGGACAGTAAGTTATGTGGTCCTCCTAGTTATATGCATCTTTCCATACTATTAAACACTACTCAAAATTTAGTGACTTAAAACAACAAGCATTTCTTGTTTTTCACTGTTCTGTGGGCTGTTTCCCACAGGTGTTTCCTCCAGTCTGGGCTGATAGGCTGGGACTGGGTGGTCTAGGATGGCCTCACTCCCAAGTCTGGAGCCTGGGCTCGGACAGCTGGAGCTTCTCTGGTGGTGGTGGCAAAACTCCCTGCAACAAGAGAGGGCAAGAGGGGTACCCAAGCCTTTCCAATTCACTGTCATGCTTGCTAATGTCTCATTGGCTTAAGCAAATCACGTGGCCCAACTCAGTCCCGCCCCAGAAATAGACTGAGGCAGCAGCTAATGATTTTGGCAGGTTTTTCAATCTGCCACACTATTCTTAATGACTTCAGAGAATTCACTGTACTGTATTTAGACAGAACACTCTTGTTGGATATGAAGTTTGTGATTTCTTGAGTGCTTATAAACAGTACTGTTAGGCGTCTGCCTTAATGCATAAACTTTGTATGCATTGTTATCTCAGATTCGGTTCCTAGAAGAAGAAGAAGGCAAGTAGGTTTCCTTTGTCAAGTGATGTGAACCATTTGCTTTTTCCCATTGGGAAAATTCCATTTTTTTTTCTTTTTCTTTTTCTTTTTCTCTTTCTTTCTTTCTTTCTTTCTTTCTTTCTTTCTTTCTTTCTTCTTTCTTTCTTCTTTCTTTTTGAGAGAGAGAGAGTGTACCCATGTGAGGTAGGGGAGGGGAAGGGAAGAGGGAGAGGGGGAGAAAGAGAATATTAAACAGTCTCCATGCCCAGGGAGGAGCCCCTACACCAACTCCATCTCATGACCCTGAAATTATGACCTGAGGAGAAATCAAGAGTCTGGGATTTAACAGACTGAGCCACCCAGGTGTCCCTGGTTTTATTTTCTAAGTAACAGACTTGTTAAGATTGATAGACCTTTTATGGGTTATATTTTTGGCACCAGGAAATCCCTAGCAAGTCAATTGTTTGATGTTTACATAGTTACTACTCTGGGACTACATGCCTGAAAGATGCTGTCAACTCCGGTAAGTGAACGTTTTATTCAAGCATGGCTTACTTGTCATATCTTCCTTCCCCAGTGACCTTCTGCCCCCCAATTACAGCAGAACTCAGCTGACTGAATGGCATTCTGCTCTCAGCTTCTTAAATAAGAACCTCGGTGAGTGAGGTTTGTGGGATACCACGTGGGTCTCTTCAGAATCCTGGTCAAGTAGTAGCCAATCATTTACGTTAGAGTCCATCGTTAACTCAGGAGTGGGGGCAGGCCCCCTGGAGGAGGAAGGGAATGTAGATGGAAGAGTGAACTCTGAGGGTTCATATAGGATCTCCAAAACCTTGCTGGTAGAACCCTCTCCCTCCCATAGCTTCCTGGTCACTGCCCAGCTGGCATGGCTGCCAGCCACACACTCTGACCCTGAACCTTGACCACAGCAAGGAGCCAGAAGGATGGCTTTGATGACCTCCTGTGAGGACAGCTTGCGGGCCAGATCCTGGGCATATGAGATGCCAAGCATGTAGTCTTGTAGTCAGAGAGACGTGGGTTTGACCCCCAGCTCTGTACCATCCCAGCTGTGTGACTTTGGGGAAGTTATGGCCACTCTTGGCCTCAAACTGCTCCTCTATAAAATGGGGATCTCCAGAGGAATAATAAAGGTATCTACCTTGTGGGGTTGTTGTGAGGATTGCATCCTGCGGTCTAGTTGAGTGCTCAATAATAAATCGTAATGTTTAAAAATGCTCTATATCAAGGGTCCTCAAACTCCCACCCGTGGGCCTCTGCTTGTTTGCAAGTTTCATTGGAACATAGCTGTGCTCATTTGTTCACATATAGTCTCTGGTTGCTTCTGCTCTACAGCCTCAGAAATGAGTAGTTGCAACAGAGACTTCATGGCTGGCAAAGCTGGGAATATCTACTATCTCACCCTTAATAGAAAATGTTTGCCAAGCCTTGTTCTGGAAGATTTAGGATATTTCCATGTCTTTTGAGGCTTACAGCAACCTGGTGAGGTCAGTAGTGTCATTGTCCCCCTGTGATGGAGAAGGACTCAGAGGCATAGAGAGGTGAGGTATCCTGCCCATGGTCACACAGCTAATGAAGTCACACCTGCCCGTGACCTGGGTACTTTGGTTAAAAGTATCATTGCTCCCAGGGCTCTTAGGTTTAGAATTTCAAAGGTATTATAATTATAATACCAAGGGTAAGAGCCTCAGGACCCCAAATAATAGCAACAATTGCCATTCACCAGGCACCTCCTAGGGACAGGTGTGGGGCTGGGCCCTGGTAACCAGCAGAATGGATTGTGCCTTGGGTGTTTCCAGTCCAGGGCAGAAGTCAGATCATGCAGGATGTTATAGCAGAGAGCAGACAGGTGACCAGCATGTTTTTGGGGGCACAGCTTGGTTAAGGGTCACATGAGACCTTGCCAGGGAACTGTTCATCCAGTCAAGAACTACAAGGCAAGAGCTGGCCAAGCCAGCTGAGGGGAGCTTTTCAAGCAAAAGGAATAGCATATGAGGTAGCTCAGAGGCAAGACAGAGCTGGGACCTTTGGAGAAAGGAGAACATGGCAGCGGAGGCTGGAAGATGCCAAGGGGCTAGACTGTGCTGGCCATGGGGCCCTGTGCACGAGGCTGGGATTTATCTTGTGGGAGTGGGAACCCAGGGCAAAGTTCTGAGCCAGGAGTGATGACGTCAGAGTGGGAAGAGGTCAGAGGGTACAGGAGTGGAAGCAGAGATCACAGGGACTTCACAGGACAGGTAAGGATGTGCTGGCCTAGGAAGTCCCCTGCAGATGGTGACACAAGCTTTAGAGCTTCTCCTGGTCAGTTCCACTGCATATCTGCCCTTCCTGGTGTCCTACATTACCCTGCTTCCATCTGCCCTGTCATCCTCCTCGCCCTTCTCAAAAAACGACCACCACAGAATTTTTGTGCTCTCTTTCAGTTTCTAGAACTGCCAGGAACGTTAAACTTCAGCTGCTTATCTTAGACACCAAGAGTCACACTGAGTTTATTAGAAAGTGGGAATCAGTAGGCAGGAGGGGTGAAAATTGATCGGCCAGCTTCTGAGTGTTCTGCTAGCCCGTCCACTTCTTATGGAACTAGCCACAGATGTGATCTGTGAACGCTCATTAATTTACACCCTTGATATTGTATTATGATTTGGTACAACCTGAAAAGAATCTTATTGGCCTTGAAGCAGAGTCAAGAATCAGGGTTAGAATAGATTCAGAACAGATAAAGACAACTCCTTCAAGGCCCTTCTCTTGGGGGTGTCGGGGACTTTGTGGGGAAGGCGATTCCAGCCCCTGATCTGAACTGGAACCACTGATCTCACCTCAGTTACCTCTGCTAAAGGGAGAAGCTGCCTCCCTTGTGAAGGGGGAAACTCTGGTCTCCCCTCTTCCTCCTGGAAGAGCAGCTAACATGTTTTCTTTCTGCCCACGGAGATAACTACCACATGGACTGCATGATGCGGATCCGCCTGCAGTATGAGAAGACCTGGCAGGAGTGTCTGGCGCATGTGCAGACATGCAAGGTGGGCGCCCCTCCCGGCCCCGCCCCTGCCTCTCTCCAGCCTGGATCCCCTGCTTTCCTCCCTCATAGGCCCCAGGCCTTCACTGGCCTCGGGCATCCCTGTGCCTAGACCCCTCCTCCTCAGCTCTGCCCACCCATCGTCACTCAAGGGGTAGCCCAGCATGACCTCCTCCAGGAAGACCTCCCTGATGAAGGTATACACTCTCTGAGCATGTCAGACTTCAACCTTGACCATCTGCGCCACTTAGAGCACCTGACATTATTGCTTCCAGGGAGGTTGCATCCCAGGGGTTATTTCCAGGGCTTCACTTTTGCAAGTAGTGGTGCCACTGCTGTCACATCCAAGACTTCTGTCCACCCCGTCCGCCTTTGTCACAGGGTGAGACAGTGAGTTTACTGGCAGACCACTTCAATGACAAAGCCTGGTTTTCTGGGGGTCCACAGAAATATTTTGTCAACATGACCCCTCCCTGCCTCCTGGCTCCAGCAAGTTCCTGCTACTCCACCCCTCCTGAGTCTGTAGACCTGTGGTTCTGCCACCGAGACTCCCAGGTGAGCAGAATTCACAGGGAGCAGAGCCTTTATGGTCCATGCAGCCTCCCCAGGGGCTGTGCCACCCACTTGCACACGCTCACATTGAATCCTGCGAGGTCCTACAGGGCAGGTATCACCAGCTCCATCTGGAGATGAGAAAACCAAGTTCTCCAGAAGCCCAGGGGCTGCCCATTTGCACTGTGGCCTCAGGGGCAGCCACATGCCTCTCAGTCTGCTTTTTCAGGGTGTCAAGCCTCAGAAGCAAAGCCTGGACGGAGAGGAGGGAGGGAAACCTTTGCCCTAGGAGAGCCTTCCCAGCACTGTGCCCCTGGCAGTTTCTTCCCCTTCCCCTGCCTCCTGGGACCTCGCTGGGGAGCTCAGTGGCCCTTGGTCCCGGGTGCCAATCCTTGTGCCCATTCTCATTTCCCCTTGTAAGACATGGCAGGGGATAAGTTGCAGCCAGCATATACCCCAAGATTGTATTAGCCCTGACAGAGGAAGGGTGCTTGGTATCCCTATTCAGCAGCATTGGAAGTATATGACTATAGACCATTTTTATTTGGGGTAGGTTGGTTTACATTAGATTTTGTGCATAAACCAAGGCTTTATTACTATGAAGAGCCAGCTTTCCAGTTGGCATAATAGGGATTCAGTCATAGGAAATAGGAGCCCTCTTTGACTCGCAGCAATGCTGAGGCTGCAGGATGGCTGATTATACCTTTAGGGTCTGTTGGTTCTGAGTTCAGATCCCAGCCCCACTACTTGCCAGATGGGCGGCCTCCAGCAAGTGTCTTCACTTCTCTGAGCCTTGGTTTCCTCATCTGTGGAATGAGACTGATGAGGACACCTTCAGGGGGTTCAGTGAGACCATGGGTAGTACGCAGCACCTAGACAAGCTGGGTGGACCAAAAACATAGATCATCTCTTACCACTAGGAGGGTTTCCCCTGAGGCTGGGTGACAAGCAGAGCTCAGGGGACAGCGACAGGCCCCGAGGTGAAGCCCTCACCAGACCTAAGCCAGGCTCTGTCTTATTTGCCTCCAGAAGCAGCTGCTGGACTGGAAAGCCTTCACTGAGGAGGAGGCAGAGAGCCTGGTGAGCCCACACTTCTTCCAGGTGGTGGGAACGCTGCAGAGCAAGGTGGAGGAGGAGCTGGAGCTCTTAGATGTATGTAGCTGGGGACCCACAGCTGGGGAGCAGGGTGGGCGGGGAGGGGTATCGCCCGAGTGCCAGGCTATGAGAAGACCAGAGTCCAGGGGCTCCGACTTCCTTGTCACTAGCGAGTCCATTTTCCTTTGTCCTGGCCGGGCTCTGGAGTGGTTCCTCTGCGCCGGGTGCTCCAGGCTCACCCCCGGCCCCCAGCTGCCCGCTGGCACCCATGCTGCATGTGGCTCGGGTAGTGGGTACTCCTTGGAATCATTGCTGAGTCTGGGTGCTGAAGGGCCACAAGGGGTAATGTTGCCCCAGGACGCTTAGCACCTGGAGCTGGCTGGGAAGCACTGTCTGCTGAGGGCCAGATAGTAAATATTTCAGTTCTCTGTGGGCCATCAGGTCTCAGTAACAGATTCTCACTCTGCTGTTGTCACACAAAAGCTGCTGTGGGCAATGCAAGAATGAATGAGTGTGACTGGGCTTCAATAAAATTTCATTTGTGAACACTGAAATTTGAATTTCATATAATTTCCACATCATTAAATAACTTTGATTTTTTTTCTCCCAACAGTTAGAAAATGTAAAATCTATGCTTAGCTCTCAGGGCCAAACAAATAAAAAAGGCAGAGGGCCAACTTTAGTTTCCTAGGCCAAGTTTGCTGAGCCCTCACCCCAATGGAAGCATACAATACACCTATAAAATGGGGAGAGGTGAGGATTTAACAGCAGAGTGTGGTGTTTGGCTCAGCTATGAAGAATCAGGGGATTCTGAAGAAGGAAAACTGCCAGGCTGAGATGGCTGTGGCCTTCCTGGTACCAAGGCTAGTGACTGGGCTTGATCCTTCTTCTAGGCCCCAAACTTTCCCTTCTTCCCATGAGTGACCTCAATGAATATGGGACAGGTCTAGAGATGGGGATTCGGGGTCAGCAGAGGAGGGAGGGCCAGGAGCCATTGTGTGACCCAGGAAGATGCCCTTGAGGGATGGTGCCTGGGCAGTGATGACCAGTCCTTGGAGATGTGGGGCCTCCACTGGCTGGCAAGGGAGCCCTGGGTTGGGGGGCTTCTCATCCGGGGCCAGTTGGCTTTCAAGGCCCCTTCTCTGGGTCCTGCCACTGCAGAAATCCTTCGAGGGCCTGGCAAAGCAGACAGAATGGCAGAGCTCAGATCTCTTCAACTACTTCCAAGAGGCTGTGCAGCTGTGGGAGGCACATCAGAACATGCTGTCGGTGCAGGACCTGGAGCTCGAGAAGAGGATGGAGCTGCAGCGGCAGAAGCACAGCCTAGAGGAACAGGTGTGGCTCCTAGGGCCCAGGGGAGCCTCTGCAGGGCGTGAGGCAAGGGCCACACCCAGACTGTCAGCTGCCCGATGGCTCTGCTTGGTGGCAGGTAACCTCAGCCAGCATTCAGATGAAAAAAGAAAAAAAGTTTCCACCATATTTACTTCACAGCATAGCTAAAAATTAACCCCAGACTTATCTTAGACTCAAATGTGAAACCTTAGCTATAAAACACAGATAGAGAAATTGAGGCTCACCTTCCCCATAGGCCTTGATGGGAGTAGAAGAAATCTGTCAGTCAGGTGTGAGCTAGTGATGGGTCCCTGGACCCAAATGTGTCTGTTAGAGAGTGCGCATGAGAGACAGACTGGGTGGGGGGAAGTGCGAGCATCTACCTCTGGCAGTCACCCTGTGCCCACAGGAGATGTGCTGGGCCCCAACCCTACCTGCCTTCACACAGTCTAGGGAATGGAGGGCCACATCCAGCATCTGATCTCAAATACAATTGATGTCAAGGAGAGCAAGGGGCAGGTGCCATGGGAAGGTGTAGCATGGGCCTGCCCAGGTGGGACAGGTGTAAGGGACATGTCCCTGAGGAGTCCCATCTGAGCTGGGTCTCCAGGGATGTAAAGTAGACAGAGCAGAACATTATCGACAGAGAAGAGCCTGGAGCATTGAGGGTAAGCGTAGTGACACATTTGGTGCCCCTTTGTGGAGGAGAAAGTCCTGAGGTACCCGCACCTCAGCTCGGGTGTCAGGGTCTCTGCATGTCACTCACATGCACTCTGTGAGTTTTGAGTTTTGGTAATTCATGTCTGCTTCTTCCTCCTATTTTGGATGCTGCTGCCAGGCCCAGGAGGCCCGCCTTGATAAGCTCTTGGACCAACTGAGGCAGCAAAGCCATGAGGAAACATTGAAGATTCACCTGGAAAAAGCCAAAGATTTTCTGAAGAATATGAAATTCAGGTAGGCAGACCAGATCCTGAAAGAAGGGAATGGCCTGACATACATACTCAAGAGCTGAGGCCATCTGCTTAGGAGCCCAGGGTGTGCTCAGCAAGCTCATGATGAAAATGTTGCATCTAGCTTTGGAGAATATCCTCGTGGTCCTTTGCAGCTCTGCTCTCAGCCAACACAGAAGCTTCCAGGAGGAATTCTGATCAGAAAAATTTATGGAGGGAGATTCCAAGGCCATGTAGTTTAAAGGTCAAGAGCATGGGCCTTCTCACTCCCTTTTCAAATTTAAAACATTTGTGCTCTTTGTTAAAGAAAAAAAAGTTAACTGACACAAACATGTAGAACTTTCCCCCTCATTCCTGCCCACCTCTTCCTTTCCTTGGGCATGTACATTTATGTGGATATAAATAGATATACAGTATTTTAATTAATTAATTAATTAATTAATTTTAAAGATTTTATTTATCCATTCTTGTGAGAGAGATAGAGAGAGAGAGAGAGGCAGAGACACAGGCAGAGAGAGAAGCAGGCTCCATGCAGGGAGCCTGACGTGGGACTCAATCCCAGGTCTCCAGGGTTACGCCCTGGGCTGAAGGTGGCGCCAAACCGCTGAGCCACCTGGGCTGCTTGATATACAGTGTTTTTAAAATAAAAATTGGATCATGCCATGCAAGTAGATCTCTAACTGCAGGTAGATGTCCATTTTCTAATGACCATGTAGAATTAATCAGTACAGGTGCTTCATACTGGTCTAATCATCCCCCGATGGATTGGCTTTTTAAGATTGGTTCCAGTTTCTCAATATTAAAAACACTTCTCTGTGAACTGTCGTGTATCTCTGTGCCTTTGTACAATGAATTCTATAGGGACCATTCATAGAAATGAAACCACACTGCCAAATGATTGCAGCACTTAGTTTCAGAAGTGTATCTTGAGACAAATAAGTCACCTCCCTACCCCCAGCCTTGTCTCCTTACCTGGGAAACAAATAAAGTCTGATCCCTGGGGCACAGGAGGGTTTGAATGGATGATGTAGGTAAAGTTCAAAGACTGTGTTGGGACAGTGGACAGGAAACGGGAACCCATGTTACAATAGAAAACTCTCCTGTGTGCGTTTTACGAATGTTCTACAAAAGAGTATGTATTCCTTGTGTGGTCGGAAAAATAGCAAAACCAAGGATTACCAGAGTGAAAGGAAGCATGTGCAGTGGCTCTGTGCAGAATGACCTAGGTGGGCTTCCAACCCATCTTGGTGTGTCCTGGGGTGCGACTCTTGGTTGGGGTCTCCCACACTCGGTAGAGCCGCCCCTTAGGCAGTGGTCTTGTCTCCCTCCCTCCCAGGTATGAGTGTTTCCACAAGCTCCTGATAAAGGAAGTGATGGAGTACCCAGTGACCATACTGAAAGAACTGAACTCTTACAGCTCCACCCTTAGCCAACACTTCTACGTCCGTGAGATCTTTGAACAGGTATGGACAGGGATGCAAATACCCAGCCACTCACTGAGAAGCAAAGGGGAAAGGATATCTTCTAGTTTTGATCTGCCTTAACTTTTCACACCTTCATTAACCCCTACCGAGTTTGAATCTGTCAGGCATTAAGGAGTAAGAAGCAGAAGGTATCTCTAAAAGAGACCATTTCTTTCTTAGATTAAAAGAGGATGAAAGGCTCAGAACTCAGGTTTGTCTGGAATTATGATGGAAAGACTATTTTCTAAAACTCTGAGTTCCATTCATCCTCCTCACCACTAACTACCCCATCACCCTCCTACCAGCACTCTGCCCTGCCCTCTCTCTGGCTCAAAAGTCCCTCACCAACTCTGCAGCCCCTGCCAAGTCCAACTCCCAGTCCTAGATGAGCACAGAGGCCCCCACGTCTGGTTCCCCCCACCCGGACCCTTCCTGCTTCAGCCAACTCTCCACTCTTCCTGCATATGCCCCCTTGCCCTGCCCCCCTGGCCTCCCTCACCCTGCTCCTCTGCTGGCATCCACACATCCCAGACCCAGCCAGCCTTCCACTACCAGTGGCAAGTGTCCCGGCCACTCACTTCCCTCACCCCCTGACCCCTCTCTTGTCTCTGGATGTGCTTGTATGGTGGTTGCTGACAAATACCAGAGTTCAGAACATCCAGAGTAGGTGTTTCCTGAAGGGCAGGTATATGGTCACTAATTCTGATTCAGCTTCAGTTGCCCTTCGCACAGCATCTTGCACATGGTTCAGATACAGTGACTATTCCCTGGGTAAATGCATGCATAGCTGGAATGTCCTGATCTGACACTCCTAGAGTTTGTCCCTTTCCCACACAGCCAGCCAGAGTCCTATATGGCCAGACCCAACAATACTTGTGGTTATCACTGAACCTAGCTGAGACTTTCTCATATATACAGGGTTGCCAGCTCCTCAGAGAACCCCTCCAGAGAGGAGGAACCTTTATTTCAATTGTTAATAAATGCTTTCTCTGGTATGTAGGTTGAGGTGGAGCTCAAGGTATAGGAGAGTGAGATCACCAGTTGCACCTTGAGATCGGTCTGGTTGCCTGGGTTCAAATTCAGGTGTTATTATGATCTGCGTGTCGTAAGTGAGGAGACTGAGTCCTATAGAGCTTAAGGAGCTTGGCCAAGGTCATGGAGCTGGGATTCAAATCCAGACCTAGAGCCCACACTGTTATCCATGACACAGTATATTCATGAATTCATCTAGAGTCTGTGAAACAGGGAATTTGTAGGGTTAATGAAGGGGCTCTCAGGTCACATAAATCATGTTCATTCTGTATGTTCACATCCAGCACCGAGAGCAGCAGATTCCTGCCCCTTTTTCTACATCCACCAATTTATACTTTCTTGCTCTTTGTCTCACATCACTACAAAATGAGAGTTTATTTACTAATGCCTATTGTGTGATAAAAAGTCTTGCTAGCCTGCCTGGGATTAAGGAAAACTGATTCCCTGGTTTGGGAACACTCTGATGACCACAATGAAATAAGGAGTAAGAAGCAGGTTGAGACGAGAAACAATAAAAAGTCAAGGCTTGCATCAGATGTTAAAGGGGATGTGTCGGCCATTTTACTTAAATGAAAAACGATGTCCGAAGTAGCACTCTGGAAAAAGGCAGTGCTGCTCACTCAGTGTCCTGTGTTTTTTCCTTGTAGACCTTGCAGGGGGAAGTCATTTTCAAATGCAGGGAACCAGGTAACACCATTATAATTCAAGTCTGATCCTCTCTGACTTCACTCTTGTACATTTATGGGCTGGGTGGGCCCAATCCAGGCCACCTTAGTAACCTGTTTTTCCTTGTGCTTTGGGATTGGTCATCACAGAAGTGCACGAAAAGCACTCCCAGGACAGTATGAGAAAACTGAGGTGCAAACAGAGGGCTAAAGTGGAAATGAGCAAAAGTGAAGAAAGTGAAAGAGAGACAAGTTCCTCCAGGTCAGCAGAAGAGATGGACGAAGATCAAGAAATGGAGTCTTCCTTCACTGAAGAGATGGTAGTAAGCCAGCAGGAACAATCTGTACTGAGTGACAAGATGGATGAGTTCAGTGAGGAATCTGTCCAGGAATCAGAAAAAATGCAAGTTGAACGAGACAGCTCCTTAAAACCATCCCCAAACCGGGAAAATGTGATGGTTCAAGAAGAGGAGATAGAGGAGGAGGAGGAGAAAAAGGAGGAGGACAAGGAGGAAGAGAAAGAAAAGGTGAAGGAGAGTGAGAAGAAGAAAAAGGAGAAGGAGGAGGAGAAGGAAGAGGAGGAGAAGAAAGAGGAGGAAGAGGAAGAGGAGAAACATGAAGAGGAAGAGAAGCAAAGGGAGGAGGAGGAGGAAGAAGAACATGAGAGTTTATCTATGGATGAGGTAGGCCAGCAATGTATTCATTCTTGGTATGGGGAAAGTGTGCTAGGCTCTGCATATTCCAGGCTGGGGTCCCCGACAGTGCAGTCTTCATGGGGATTTACAAATGTATGCACGTCTTTTATTTTGTCAACAGGAATCCAATTCTTATCTCACAACAAAGCTTTTTAAAATTTACTTTCTTCTCCTAACATCTTATCCTGCAATCTACTCTGAAGTCACCCCTTAACTGTATTGCTTTCCTTGTCCTTCCCTAGTCATCTCTTTCCGAGCTCCTCTTTCCTGTATAGACCAACTTAACCTCTCTCTATTCTTTCTCTCTTCCCATTCTCCTGTGTAGCACAAAAGATCCATATCCAAGTTGGCAGACAGAGGTCTCCTTGGAGTGCAGGGAAGTTACTCTCATTATTAAATCTTGTCCTCCAAACACATTCCAACTCACAGAACAGTAACTTGGATTCCATAATCATGAAGTTGCAAGACTCTCTTCCTATCTTGCTGTAAAAGAAGTGGCATAGGGGACTTGTTTTTGAGCAGGGATCCCTATTTCAAATGCCCACAGGCATGTAATAGAAAAAAGGTCTGGAGACCAAGTATAAAATAAGACTATTGTCTTAGTCTGTTGGAGCTGCTATAGCAGAATATCACAGATTGGGCAGTTTATGAACAACAAATTTCTCACAGTTCTGAAGGCCGGGAAGTCTAAGATCAAGGTGCCAGCAGATTTGGTGAGTGGTGAGGGCCCACTTCCTGGTTTATATACAGCCATCTTCTCACTGTGTCTTCATATGGTGGAAAGAACCAACTCTTTTATAAGGGCATTAATCCCATTCATGAGAACTCTGTCTTCTTGACCTAATCACCTCCTAAAAATCCACCTCCAAATACCAACACATTGAATTTCAGAGAACACCCAACATTCAGTCTAAGGCAACTGTGCAGTCATTACTCAGCTCCAACCAATAATGCCATGTGGGAATGGAGACTCAGAATTGACAAAATTTCTGATTTCTAAAAGAAATCAGAAATCCAAATTATTTGTAGAATTTCCCAATTTTGAAAGCATTATATTGGGCAAAAAATAATTACAGGCAAGATTCAGCCCACAGGTTTACAACCTTGATATTCAAGATCCTATGGTTGGATCCCCAGGTCTATTTGATGACATAAAGTCTAAAATCTTCTCTTCTGCATAGGCTGAAGCCCAGGAAGAGAGTCTGGGGGAGATCTCCCATGAGGACATGGAGTCCTTCACTACCTCCAGCGGACACACTTATTTTGTCTTCCTAACCCTGGAACAAGAAGAAGAGAGTTGCAAGTGGTCCCATTCCAACCTTTCTACCATTCTCATCAATGACATGTCCAATGCCAACTTCCTAGAACAAGTGATCATTCCACCCAGACTAGTTTTACAAATTAAGAAACAGTGAGTAAAAACCCCTTTTATTCTCATTCTCCTAAGTTTTGTTAACCAGGTGAGGTATTACAACAAAAGATTGGCCTAGTTTCAGCTGGAAAAAGAAAATTTGTAGGTAACTGAGGGTTGAGAAGAGAAACAATAAAAAGTAAATTTCCAGGAATTATTTGTAGACACAGATATCTTCTGTGAGAGTGACCCCCTTCGTCTGTCCCAGGATGCCTTGCTGGCCTGGGCCTTGTATGTAAGAAATAGTGTTTTCCTGCAAGATATTAGAACCCCTGGCACATGTGTAATCTTGCCACTTCCTTCCTTTTTCTTTCTTTCTTTCTTTCTTTCTTTCTTTCTTTCTTTCTTTCTTTCTTTCTTTCTTTCTTTCTTTTTCTTTCTTTCTTTTTTCTTTTCTTTCTTCTTTCTTTCTTTCTTTCTTTCTTTCTTTCTTTCTTTCTTTCTTCTTTCTTTCTTTCCCTCCCTCCTGAGTATATATGAGTATATATCAATATGGTATTTAGCTCCGATTATATGACACTATAATTGCAGAAAATTAGAAAATTGAAAAAAGTATAATGAAAAATATAAAAATGACCCATAATTCTGCCACTGAGAATTTACCTCCCCTAACCCCCAATTTTCTGGGCCTCTGTGTTAGAATTTGGACCCAATGTGGAAATTTGCAATTGGCTTCAGATAGCATTTCCATTGCACTCTGACTCTACAGTGTCATAGCTAGGACTCACCAGCTAGAGATCACCTGATTAGTCTACCTCCTATGTATAGACATTGGCAGGGAATAGAAGGGGTTAAGTCAGGCTTTTGGAACTCTTCTCTTTCACCTCAGCATTATCTCACCTTGAAAATGTCTCTTGACTTGAAACTCATCCTTTCTCCTTCATCTGTCACAGGCCATTGCCTGTCTTCTCCTTAAAGAATAAAAGCAAGGACCACCACAAGAGCTAATATTTATTGAGAGGATTTGATACTCTTAATAACTATGAAATAACTATGAATTAACTATGAAAGGGGTACTATAATTAGCTTATAATTATGTATGGACAAAGAAACTGAAGCTCAGGGAGTTAGCTATTTTGATAAGATCTCTGAGATAGGAAGTGGTTGGATCTAGGATGTAAATCTAGACCATGTGATTCCAGAGTCTTGAGCCAAACATTTATGCCATCTGGCCTTGGGATTAACCAGAAAAATAGTTCTGTGTTAAACTGATTTGATTTGCATGTTGAAGGATACAATACTGAAAAGTATGGAAATCATGAATGTATAGCTCAATGAATTACCCAAAGGGAACACACCTGGTAACCAGTACTTCCCCCAAAATAGAACATTACCAACTCTCCCTCATGTATTCATTTCAAGTCATTGCCCTCTCCTTCTCAAAGATAGCAATATTCTAACTTCTGAATTAGTTTTGCTTGTTTTTGAACTTTATTTAGATGGAATCATAGAAAACATACTCTTTTATGTTGGAATCCTTTCATTATGTTTGCAAGATTCGTATGTATTTTTGAATGTGGTCTTAGCTCATTTTTATTTCTGTGTTGTATTCCATTATAAAAATACATAATCCATTTTCTTTATCCATTCTACTGCTGATGCATAGTTGAGTTGTTTTTCTTTGGGGAATGGAACAGTGCTGCTCTGAGCATTCTTGTGCAAGTCTTTAGGTGAACATATGTCTCCATTTCTGTTAGATACATAACTGAGAGTGGAATTGTTGGGACATAGGATTCTATGTGTGTCCCTCTTGAGAAGATACAACCAAAGATAGTACCAAAGAGTTTTCAGGTTAATACGTGGCAAATGGTTATCCCTCTCTGTGCTTGCCTTTTTTCTTTCCTCTCCTAAAGGCATCTTTTGATGAAGAGAAATTTTTATTTGCAATAAGATCCTATTCATCAATTTTTTTCATTAAGGTTAATGTACTTTCTGTCTTATCTGAGAAATCTGTGCTTGCCGCAAGGCCCTGAAAATATCCTCCTATGGGATTTACTACAAATGTTATCATTTTAAATTTCCACATGGAGATGTATAATCTACCTGTAATTAATTTTGTTTATGTGAGAGATAGGAGTCAGATTCATGTCTTTCCATGTGGATAACTACTTTACTCCAGAAGGCTGGAGTCTCCCCACTGCTCTGCCAGACTTCCTCTCTATCTCTCTGTGTCTCTGACACATCGCTGCCTCACCCTGCCTGGTTCCTGTAGTTGTATACTAAGTCAATATCTAGTAGTGTAAGTTCTCCAGCTTTGGTCTTCTCCTCCTTGGCCATTTGCATTTCTGCATAAACTTGAGATCAGCTTATCAGTTTCTAGAGGAAGACATCTGCTATACTTTTTATTTTTATTTCTTATTTTTTAAAGATTTACTCGTTTATTTTAGAGAGGAGAGTGTGTGCACTCAAGGGTGGGGGTAGGGACAGAGGAAGAGAATTTTCAAGCAGACTCCTCGCCGAGCATGGAGCCTGACATGACGCTTGATCTCACAACCCTGAGATCATAACATGAGCTGAAACCAAGAGTCAGATGCTTAACCGACTGAGCCCCTCCCAGGCACCCTGATTGAATTGAATGTATAGATAAATTTTATTGCATTGAATCTATAGAAAATTTGGGGACAACCAACACCTTAACAAGACATGGGCATTTTAATAATAACATAAATTTTGAAAAGGAAGAAGTGGTAAGTTGGGAAAAATATTTGCAACTCACAGCATAGTCAAATGATCTCATGTTCCCAATATATAAGGAGTGCCCATATAAAGAGATTGATAAGAAATACAACATCTACACAATAGAGAAAAAATGGGCAAAAGATATTCATGAATAGTATGTAGAAAAAGAAATTAAATAGTCTTAAACAGATGCCAGTATGTTCAGTTTCAATCATAACATGATGAAATTGTCAAATTCAAAAGTATGGCAATCCACTCCAAGGCTGTGGAGAAAGGGAAATGATTATTCATTGTGGATGGCAGTTCTGGGTGCCTTGCCATGAAAGCAGTTAAGCCATATCTTTAAGAACCACAGATGTATTTTAGCCTTTGATTCAGCAATTCCAGTTCAGGGAATATATCCTGTAGAAATGCTTCTACACTTGACTTATGCACAAGGTTATTCATTGTAGCCTTTTTTGAAGAACAAATGGTTGGAAACCATCTAATGTCCTTTGGCCGAGTCTGGTTAAATTAATGGTGGTCCATCCAGACAAAGGAATATAATATAGTGGGGGGAAAAAAAAGGAAGAAGTGATAGGGGGAAGCACTTTATGTATCGATATGGAAAGCTCTCTCCCTGGTCACTGCCACTGGCAGAGCTGACTGTCACTGGTATCTTCCTCAGGCTTCGAACTGGCTTTTTTGAGCACCTAGAGAAGTGGTTTGACCAATGTGTCCTCAAAACCCGGGCCACTGCGGCCACCAAGATTGATGAACTTGATTCAGAATTGGAGCTGCGTCTGCACCTACATGAGCTAAGAGCTGAGCGCATTGAAAAGGACATCCATAATGTCAGGGCAGGTACGGACCCTGCTTGGGAAGACCACCCTGTCCCAGACAGCTGGTATCAGTTCTGCATTCAGTAGGTGCCCCTCTGTGAGGGTTTCACCTCCAGACTGGCAGAGAAGACAGTTCTTAGAACCTGCATTTGAGATTTTAAAAAAATTTTTTTAAACAAGGATTTAGATGCCAAAATGAAGAGTATTGTCCTATTTTAGCAGTGTGAATAGATGATCTGTTCACACACCTATCAGATATACACCTGCATTCAGATGCTCTAGGGGCAAACCTGAGCTCATGTATCAGAGCCACCAGGCTCAGCCTCTCTAGCTGTGTGACTCTGGACAAGTTACCTGACCTCTCTGATCTCTCCTTCCCTTGCAGAAGAGGATACTTCTGGTGGTAATTAACTGTCCCTGAAAGGGTACAGTGAGGAATCCTAAGCAACTGGTACCCATTAATTTAAGCTTATAATTTATAACTTAAAAAGAGATGCCATCTTGCTCTTAGGCACAGGGCTCCATTAGTGGGTAACATATTTTTAGTTGGATCCTCAATGACTGTTCTGGGTTTTCACTTGTGTCACACTTCAAGTTTCTTCATGACCCTTTGAGCTTCCAGAGTGACCTCACATGGTCCCAACCAAACTCCTCCTGTCTGGAGCAGTGACAGTTGAGTTATGGAATCAGCCAGCCCAGCCCGGAGTCCCCCTGCTTGGGGCCTTGGGAACCCTGCTTGACTTTGTTTTGTTTTTAAAGATTTTATTTATTTATTCATGAGAGACAGAGAGAGAGAGAGAGAGGCACAGACACAGGCAGAGGGAGAAGCAGGCTCCCTGCAGGGAGCCCAACGTGGGACTCGATCCTGGGTCTCCAGGATCACGCCCTGGGCTGAAAGCAGCACTAAACCGCTGAGCCACCTGGGCTGCCCTGCTTTTGGAACCTCATTGTGTTCATCTGGAAAATGTGTTCATTAAATATAAGTATAAATTGAGACACTTCGTGAAGACTGTCTTCCTGCCCCTTCCGTGGCTCCCTGCCCCGGTGCACAATGCAGAGATCAAGGTCAGAGAAACAAGGTCCCAGAGTCCCTGCACTCCTTTTTGGCAGAGCGGGATGGCAGCACTTTCCCTTCCAGGCAGCAGGAAGATGGGGTGGGCTGACCTGAGGCTGTCTGCAGCTCGAAAGGCCTATGATGGAGCCCTTGAAGCTAAATCCTGGTTCTGTTTAGCCCACCCTAGAAGTCCTATGGAATTCAAGCTTCCCGGAAAGAGTAGCCACTTTCTACTGTAAGGAGTAGAAAGGAACAAACTCCGACTGCCCAGCGTTGTGCTGGTTGTTTTCTCCAGACTCTCTCACCAGACTCCCCACCCTTCCCAACACCCTCCACCCATCCACCTGCTCCTGGGTGTCTTTGCAAGCAGCGACCTCCCACTCACAGCCTGGACAGCCTCCTTTCCAGTTAGAGACGCTGGGGCAGTCTCAGATGGCCTTTCTCAGATCTGCACCCATTCCCAAGCCACACCGAGGGCGACGGTCACCATCCAGGAGAGGAACGTCCTGAGGTGACTTGAGATCCTGGAGGGCCTCAGCTCCCCCTCATCCTTTTTCAGCTGAGCTCTTGCTCCATCAAGAGCGGCTGGACAGCCACTGTGCTGGGGTGACCGAGACGCTAAGGAAGGAGAGGCTGATGTTCTTCCAGTTCCAAGAGGAGCAGAACATAAAGAGCAAAAACTTCCGCCGCAAGATTTACGACATGGAGCACATCTTCTTGAACGCCACGAAGAGCCAGAGGTGAGGGCCCTGGAAGTCTTGCGGGCCTAGAATCGCAGACATGAGATGCCAGCCTTTAGCTGCTCTCAAAGGAGTGGTCCCGCCCTGGTGGATAAAAGTCAGTTGTCTAGGCCCTATAGCAACCTCCTCCTTTCAGCTCACCTCTTCACAGAAGTAAGAGTCCAACTGTGTGAACGTTGGGCTGGGAGCTGGGGGCTGGGGGCTGGGTGAGCAGGCAGGGACAGAAAAGGGTGCATGTGGTCAGGGTGCAGGGATGTTACTAACCAGCCCCGAAATGTCCATGCTGGGAGAAACCACTTCCTTCAAGGGAAATCAGGAAGAGCTTCCTGCAGGAGGGCCAGGCCCCCTGGCCTGGAATGGAGGACGGTAAAGAGGAGACAGAGTTTTCCCCTCAGGAAGAAGCACTGACCCAGCTTGGGGTGGGGGTGTGCTCACAGCAGAGCAAGGGCTTCCAAGGAGACCATTCGGGGAATTGAGATGGAGGCTCTGGTGAACTCAGGGAGACCTCAGTCAGGTAACATGAGGGGCCCTCACAGGATCAGTCAGACACAATAGGCAGCTGGTTAGGGTGGACTTAAAGGTGAAGAGGAAACCTGCAGGGTGCTCCTCTGGGAGAGTACCAGCCACAGGAGCCACACTGCTGTGAGCTAGAGAGAGCGAGCACTGCAGGGAGGGCAAAGATCCAGTAGGAACTGGGGATTCCTTTAGTAATTTGGCGGCAAGGGCCAGAGAGAGGAGACAGATGTCCTCTGATACAGCACACTGAGAGTCCCGTGCTGTGTCCTGCACACACTGGCATTTTGAACTTCCTTTTAGCCTCTTTTTCTACTGAGAGTAACATGGCTGTGGTTGTGGTGGCCCCACAGCTGGGCGCAGCAATGGAGCTCAAGTGGCCCCCAGGGTGCCCTTCCATCCCTGGGTCACCACCCTGGCCTCCTGTGTCCCCTAGGCTGGTTACTCTGAGCAGCACACTGCACCAGGAGCTGCTCAGCTATGTGGATGTCATCCAAGTGTCCCTGCGCAGCTTCCGCCAGTACTTGGAGGAGAGCCTGGGCAAGCTTTGCTTAACCAACATTGAGTTCATCAAGCACTGCAGGTGGGAGCCAGCATCGGGGGCCTCTGTGGGCACTGGACTTTCTCTGTTGAGAAGTGGTCTTGTTTCCCCCTTTAATTTTTTTATTATGACAAAATATAGGACATAAAATTATCCATTCATCTGTTTTTCAGGTGTGCAGTTAGTTCAGTGGCACTAAGTTCATTCACACTGTTGTGCAACCATCAACACCATCCATCTACAACATTTTTCATCTTCATAAACTCAAACTCTGAATGCATTAAACACTAACTCCCATTCTCTTCTGCCAGCCCTTGGCAGCAGAATTTCTTTTTTTTTTTGTCTCTATGAATTTGACTACTGTAGGTGCCTCATATAAATGAAATCATACAGTATTTGTCCTTTTGTGTGTCTGGCTTATTTCACTTAATGTCATCAACACTCATCATGTGGCATGTGTCAGAATTTCATTCCTTCTTAAAGCTGAATACTACTCCATTGTGTGTATATACCACATGTTGTTTTCCTGTTCATCCCTTAAAGGATATTTGGGTTATTTCATTGCTTCTATCTTTGAACCACCTCTATTCATTTTTCTATGATCTTATACTTTTAATCTAAAGCTTTATCAACCACAGTGTTTGGGATGGGTGGGAAGTTTCAGGGCTGATCAATGGCTTTTATTTCTCTTGAACTATTTTCAGATTGTTTTCTGAGGGAGGCAACTTTTCTTCTGAAGAAATTGACTCACTGTGTCATCGACTGGAGAAGGAAGCTTCCCGAATAGAGTTTGTTGAAAGTTTAATCATGATCAACATGGAGAAGATGGAAAGTGAATACCTGGACCAGGTGGGAGAGCCCTGCCCTTGACCTCCAGCCAGGTCCTAGACACCCTTGCTCATTGCCTGACAGGCCTGCCAAGCTCCCATTCCAAAAAATTGAGCATGTCTCCCTCTGCTTCCAAAGTCTGTAAGTTCCAAATTAAACCCCCCTCCTTTACTTTTTTATATTTCTTCACAGGCCAATGATGTCATCAACAAGTTTGAAAGCAAATTCCATAACCTATCTGTGGATCTTGTTTTCATAGAGAAAATCCAGCGGTTGCTGACAAATCTGCAAGTGAACATCAAGTGTGAGGTAGGGCAGATTCATTCTTCACCTGCATACCAGGCACTGTCCCAAGTCCTGGGAATACAACTGTGGGCTCTGCCCCATGGGATTTGAACTCCAGCCAGGAGACAGATGTTAAATCATTATAGCCTCTAGGATTCATTGACTTATTATGTACCATACATCCTGCTAACTGACTTGTTTTGATCAGCTATGTTAGTCCTCACAAGAACTATATGAAGCAAGTACTGTTTCCCCCCCTATTTTAGAGGCAAAGAAACTGAGGCAGAGAGTAATTAAGTGACTTAGAACAAGAACACAGAACTCTCGAATGTGAAGTCAAAATGTGAACTGAGGTCAATGATCTTAAATAAATGACCTAACTGTACACCTTAAGGAATTTGAAAAAAAAATTAAACCCAGAGTTAGCAAAATGAAGTAAATCACAAAGATCAGATCAGAAATAAATGAAATAAAGACCAGAAAAGCAATAGAAAGGATCAATGAAGCTAGAGATGGTTTTTCAGTGATAAACAAAATCAACAAACCTTTAGCTAGACACAGAAAAAGGAGAAAGGACTTGAATAAAACCATAAATGAAAGAGAAGACAGTGCAAATGATACTGCAGAACTACAAGAATTTTAAGCCTACTATGACTAATTACATACCAATAAATTGGATAAGAAATGGAAAAAGTTCTAGAAACAGAATCATGAACAAATATGACAGAATCATGAACAAATATGACAAATCATGAACAGACCAATAATAAGTAAGGAGATTGAATCAGTAATCAAAAACTTTCCAACAAAGAAAACTTAGGACCCAATGGTTTCATGGGTGAATTCTACCAAACACTTAAAAGAAAACACCAATTCTTCTCAAACTCTTCCAAAAAAATAGAACAGGAGGCAATACTCCCAAATTCATTTTACAAAGTCAGAATTACCCTGATAGCAAAGACAGATAAGAACATTACAAGGAAACTACAGACCAATGTCCCTGATGGATAGAGATGCAAACATCCTTAAGAAAAATTAGCACACCAAATTCAACAGCACATGAAAAGGATCATACATCATGATCCAGTGTCATTTATCTCTAGGATGCAAGGATGGTTCTAAATATACAAATCAATCAATGTGACACCATGTTAATAGAATGAAAGATAAAAATCATTTAATCATCACAATAGATGCAAAAAAACCCACTTGACAATGTACATCTTCTCTTGATAAATATGTTAAACAAATTAGGTAAAGGAGGAACACACTAAGTATAATAAAGGCCATATGTGACAAGCTAATATCATACTCAACAATGAATAGTTCAAAGTGTTTCCTCTAAGATCAGGAACAAGACAAGGGTACTCTGTCTCACCACACCTATTCAACATAGTACTGGAACATAGTACCCAAATGATCAGGCAAGAAAAAGAAATAAAAGGCATCCAAAAAGAAAAGGAAGAAGTAAGAATGTCTTTGTTTGCAGAACAAATGATCTTATATATAGAAAATCCAGCAAAAAACTGTTAGAGCTGATCAACAAATTCAGTAAAGTTGTAGGATACAAAATCAACATCAAGAGATCAGTCGTATTTGTATATACTAATAGTAAAAATATCTAAAAAAGAAATAAAGAAAACAATCTCATTCACGATAGAACCAAAAACAATAAAACACTTGGGAATAAATGTAACAAAGGAAATGAAAGATCTATACACTGAAAACTACAAGAATTTGATGAAAGAAATTGAAGAAGACACAAACAAATGGAAAGATATCCCATGTTCATAGATCAGAAGAATTAACATTATTAAAATATCCATACTACCCAAACCTATCTATAGATTCAGTGCATTCTCTATCAAAATCCCAGTGGATAAGGGAAAGGAAAGAAAATGAATGGGAAATATCAGAGAGGGAGACAAAGCATGAGAGACCCCTAACTCTGGAAAACGAACAAGGGGTAGTGGAAGGGGAAGTGGTTGGGGGAATGGAGTGACTGGGTGACGGGCACTGAGGGGGGCACTTGACGGGATGAGCACTGGGTGTTATACTATATGTTGGCAAATCAAACTCCAATAAAAAAAACATACCAAAAAAAAGTATAAGCCAAGTAAAAACGAAATCCCAGTGGAATTTTTCACAGGAATAGGAAAATCCATCCTAAAACTTGTATGTAACAGTGATAGAGTATGAATAGCTAAAGCATTCCTGAGAAAGTAGAGCAAAGCGTCACAATTCCTTATTTCAGTGTACTATACTCTTCAATAAATGGTGTGGGGAAACTGCATAAACACTACAGAAGAATGAAATTGAACCCCTATCTTATACCATGCACAAAAATTAACCCAAAATGGATTAAAGTCCTAAGCGTAAGACTTTAAATCATAAAACTCTGGGAAAAAATATGGGGAAAAACTCCTTGACATTCGTCTTGGCAATGATTTTGTGGATGTGACACCAAAGGCACAAGCAACAGAAGCAAAAATTAGCAGGTAGGACTGCATCACATTGAATAGCTTCTGCATAGCAAAAGAAACAATAAAATGAAAAGGTAACCTATGGAATAGGAGAAAATATTTGCAAATAATGTATCCTGTAAGTGGTTAATATCCAAAATATATAAAGAACTCATATAACTCTGGTTCGCCTGGGTGGCTCAGTGTTTGAGCGTCTGCCTTGGGCTCAGGGTGTGATCCTGGAGTCCTGGGATCGAGTTCTACATCTGGCTCCCCACAGGGAGCCTGCTTCTCCCTCTGCCTGTGTCTCTGCCTCTCTCTGTCTCTCATGAATAAATAAATAAATAATCTTAAAAAAAAGTCATATAACTCAAGAGCAAAAGAAGCAAACAATGTGGTTTGAAAATGGGCAGAGAAACTTATTAGACATTTTTCCAAAAAGGACATATGAATAGCCAATAGGCATATGAAAAGGTGTTCAACATCACTCATCATCAGGGAAAGACCAATGACAATGAGGTATCACCTCATACTTATTACAATGGCTGCCACCAAAATGACAAGAGATAATAACTGATTACAAAGGTGTGGAGAAAAAGAAACCTTGTGCACTTTTGGTGGGAGTGCAGACTGGTGCAGCCACTGTGGACAACAGTATGGAGTTTCTTCAACAAACTAAAAATAGAATCACCGTATGCTCTAGCAATCTCATTTTTGGTTATATATTCAAAGGAAATGAAAATATGGTCTTGAATAATGCTTCACTGCAGCATTATTCACAATAGCCAAGGTGTGGAAACAGATGTGGAAAAAGGCAGAGTGTCAACAGACAAACGGATAAAGAAGATATGTATTTGACCACGAAAAGGAAGGAAATCCTACCATTTGTGACAACATGTATGGACCTTGAGGGCATTATGCATAGTGAAATAAGTCAGAGAAAGAAAGACAAAAACTGTATGATCTCACTTATATGTAGAATCTAAAAAAGCCAAACTCATAGAAACAGAGAGTAGAATGGTGGTTACTAGGGACTGAGTGGTATGGGAAATGTGGAGATAAGGGGCAGTGGGTAAAAACTTCCAGTTATAAGACAAATAGGTTCTAGGGATCTAAGATGCAGCATGGTATTATAGTTAATAATATTATATGGTATACGTGAAAGTTGGTAAGAGAGTAGATCTTGCATGTTTTCATCACAAAAAAGAAATGGTAATTATTTGATGTGGTTGGAGGTATCAGTTAATGCTAGAGTGATAATTATTTTGCAATATCTAAGTGTATCAAATCAACACATCGTGTATGCCTTAAGCTTACATAATGTTATGTCAATTGTCTCTCAATAAAGCCAGGAATGACTGACTTATTTTTAAGCTTTTTTTCTATATAGGGAAAGATTTTGTATATATTATATAATATATAAAGTGTATAATACACATAAATAATACACATTATATATAATACATGTACATGTATATGTATATATGCACAAAGAACAAAACTGACCTCTTGCTATTTATACAGTTTCTTAGGCTATAGAATCTTTAAAGATTCTTTCAAAACCCCTGCTGTGATAACTTCCCTCTCCTGAGTGTGTTGCCGTTTTCACTCATCCATTCTTTTTTCGGAAGAACATTTGGTGGATTTCATTTATGATTATACCAATGGCATTGTAAACACCCTTGCATAGGAAACTCTGATTATATGTCCATAGGGTATCTCCCAGAGCTGGAATTACTGGGGCAGCTCATGAATGTTTTAAGGCTCTTCGTGTTTTCCAGGTGGCTCAGACAACCGTCACCAGTGGGACAATGCCCTCAACTGCTACTGTGGGTTGTTGATTTTATTTTTAAACCTTATTTGTTTGAGAGTAAAAAAGAAAACAAAACCAAGCCCTTTTACATTTGCATTGATCTAGTTTCTGATAACATGGTGCATTTCCCACCCCACCTCCCCCATTTCATTTTTCCAATACTGAATTCATCTCAGTATGTTTTGCTGAACATTTTCCTGATCAGAATAAGTATTATAGAAAAAAAAATCATGGAGCCTCTGGTTTTTCTAGGTTGCAAAGTCTAATTTACAAACAGATGGATTAAATTCTTCTCTGGAACAGCTCCAAAGGAAAATAGAAATGTGTCGAAGCTCAAAGGGAGATAAAAAAGTAAGTATTCGGTATTTGCTGAGCTATGAATAGTAAAGATGCATTACCCAAGAATTTTTTTTAAGATTTTATTTATTTATTCCTGAGTGACAGTGAGAGAGAGGGAGGCAGAGACACAGGCAGAGGGAGAAGCAGGCTCCATGCAGGGAGCCCGATGTGGGACTCGATCCCAGGACTCCAGGACCACGCCCCACACCAAAGGCAGGTGCTAAACCACTGAGCCACCCAGGGATCCCCTGCATTACCCAAGAATTATAAACTGGAAGTAAACTTATATCTGTCATCAAGATTTCTCCAGCTCCAGAGGGCCTCTGAGCCATCCTACTTAACCCCTGTTCCATTCAATGGAATCAAGGAAGAAAAGAAAACACAGCCCTCCTCCAGCCCCCAGCCCCTCCCTGGCAGGCAGAGTCCAGTGAGTGTGGGGCTGCGGTCTGACCTCACTCCGCCTCTGAGGGCACGAGGCATCCCTCCTGTAATTGGAACTCAGCCATAGAGGAAACACAGAAGCAGAATTATGCCTTCTGTACAACCACTTTTTGTTTGATTTTTCATTTGCTGGTGTTTTTGACCATTGCACATAAACTGGTTACTTCTGTTTTCTCTACATATGAACTGTGAAAAGGCCAAATGAGAGCAAAATGGATCAGCACAGCAGGTGTCTGGATGTTTACGTTGTTTACTTGCTTTTTTCCACCTTGTGCACACGTCTCTGTCCCCCGGTCCACATTCATCCTTGCCTCCCTGGGCAATGTTTTCTCAACAGCTCAACCAGGCACTTGAGGACCAGATGTCTCAGCTGGAGCTGTCTTAGTGGGATGGTCTTTCCTCACGAAACTCTGTCTTTTCCATTTCGGTTGAGTTGAGGTTTTATTTTTTTGTTAACACTGAGAGGACATTTGGTTTCTATCTTTATTGCTCTTTCTTGCATAGTAACACATGCTTCATGAAGAAAGTTTGAACATCCACAAAACATAGAGTGAGTACATGTCCCTCATGTTATTACTTTTTTGCAGTCTGCAGCGACCTCTGTATTTTTGTGCAGTTATTCATGCACATCCCCCGGGCAGCATGAAGAAACCAGATTAATCTGAAGTAACCCCTTCAACAGACCCTCTAGGGACCGCTCTGCCTCTCCAGAGCAGAAACATTCGCTCTTCCACATTTCCTCACTTCTCCATCCGCCTCATTGTCCTCTCTGGTGGTGTGAGGGTGTTGGACAGGGTGCCTGTGGCTTGCACAGCCACCTGGCCAGGTCAGGGGAGCATGAGCTTGGGTGGGCAGGCACTTGTGTGTTGATGGAAGCAACTGGTTGAATATTTCTGAAAAGCATTGATTGGGAGATGAAAATGATGCATCAGATGCCAGGGACAGGTGTGGTCATGATTATGTGCTCCGTGGCCTGTGAAGAGGGCCTCCTGGCTGCTGTGTGCAGAAAGGCAGGAAGGAACAGAGGAGAGAGGCAGGGAGACTGAGGCAGAGAGAATGGTGGCCTGGCTAAGGTACCAGGAGAGACACCTTCTGGTTCCAGCGTTGAGTAGCAAATAAATGGTTAGGACTCAGAGTGCACTGGAAATGAAGGAAGCAGAAGAGGCCAAGGAACGCCCTGGCCTGGGTCATCTATGTAGGTCAGTTAAAGATTCAGGGGACCATGAATGAGGACTTCTGAGTGATGTGTGAGATGCACAGTGAAGGTGAACATCCTTACAGGTGCTTCCTGGCATACCTCGGGGCACGGTCTGTGGGATTGCTGCTACAGGGGGATGTGTATGTGACCTTGTTAGGTCACCTTCCAGAAAGGCTGTGGTCATTTCACTTCTACACAGCCTGGCCATCTTGGGCCAAACATTTCCTTCTAAGAGTTTCAGAGCTAGAAGAGACCCCAGAGAGTATTCTGGGCCCCCACTCTATGGATGAGGAAACTGAGTTGAGCAATCTAAGTGATTTGCCCAGAATGAACCCATAAAACCAGGACTAGAACTCTTGATGCCCCATCAGTAAAAGATTCCCTGCCCCAGTGCAGCTGCCCAAGAGAGCCAGCCAGCATTCCCTGCTCTCCCAGATCCAAAGAACCAAGAGGCTGACAGTTCAGATGGAGACAATTGGCCCTCCTGCAACCTGCTTTCTGTGGCTTTCTTCCCCTAGATGGTGACCACAGAAGACATCCTTGGCTTCGTCCAGACTTGGAAGGAAAGACTTGGCCAGAGGATTCAGTACCTCAATTGCAGGCTAGACACAGTGTCCGTGACTCAAGTGGTCTTTACCGTAAGGCACAGACAGTAAAGAAAGGGGTTGGGCAGTGGGGAAGGGTGGGTGAGCTGTCTGGTCCAGGCTCCTAGGAGACCAGCAGGGCTCAGCAGAGCCTAAGGGAAGAGGAGGCTCCCAGGCTTCTGCTGGACACCAGGCCAGAGATGCCTTGGGAAGACTATAGGCTCTCCCTTCAGATCAGGGTTCAAATCCCAGATAGTTCACTTCCCTGCCTTGGTCTCCTCAGAGACCCCTCACCTCTTGACACCATCTCCTCATGTCCACCAGGACCTTCAGCTTACCCCACCCACTGGTTCTCAGGCAACCTTACCTTTCAGCCTCTTCCTTCCTACCCACATCTAAGAGCAACCACTGGCTTCTCCCCACCTGACCCCCACTGCCCCTTCTTGCCCACTTGGTGCCCTTTTTCTCTCACTTCCCCTCATGATCCATTCCCTGAGCTGAAACCAGACCTGACACTGAAGAAAGTTGGTCTGACTGTGTCACTCTTCTGTCCTCAGGGTAAAATCCAGACCCTTGGACTGGGCCTTCATAGCAGGCTCCTCAGTCTGCCCTCCATGGCCTCTTCATTTCTCGCCCTCACTCCCACCCCAAAGACATTATTTTCCCCTGGGCTTTCTCTCAGACCAGACAGTTAGACCAGACCAGACAGTGAGATCTCCATTTTAAGGGCTGTCTCTCTAGACTGTGTGGCCTAAACGGGCAGAGCTTGTGTCAACCTCACCTCACATTCAGCCTCTCACTCCAGGCTTTGAATGCCAGAGGCACTCGATTAAATTCCAGGGGGGAGTGTGGGCATAAGTGGATACCCACATATACAAATGTGGGCATAAGTGGACACCCCTCCAGTTCTGCTCTGGCTACCCTCTCACTGCCATGTTTTGAACCAGCTCTCCCTTCTACGGAGAAGCTCTTCATACCGTATCACCAATACTAAGCCTCCATCATGCCACTAGCAGTGCACCCTTCAAGACAGAACTCAGGAGTCCATCTGGGGTCCTTCCCTGTTACAGTCCATTACTGAGCCTGGGCTCAAATAAAATAAGGAATAGCCTAACTAAGCACTCATTGTGGGCCACCACCCCTACCCTTTCTCGAAGGTCCAACTTGTAGGGGGTGTTACCACTTACTTGTGCACACTTTCATTCACTCATCCCTTTCAAGAACAGTGCCTAGGCATATCTACAGGCTGGCCTCGTAGGTCTATGGCCCTCAGTTTCATGGAAGACTCTGGAACTTCTTCACAAAATGTTTTGACCAAACATTTATTTGTAGAGTTCATATTAAATGCTTGCTCTCTGACCAGACTTTAAGCCCCGTAAAGGCAAGGGTCACATGTTAACTCCCTACACTGTGTCCCAGGACCCAGGCAGAGCCTTGCAGAAAGCAGGTACTTGGGAAACATTTCGAAAGCCAACATGCACGCATAGATGAATGCATGCATGCATGAATGAATGACCATCTAAAGTTATGACCATTGCCATTTTTTTAGAAGAAAAATAGAAGCTCAAAGAATCAGGCAGCTGGCTTCCAGCTGCAGGACCTGGGTGAAGTAGTACTCGGACATGAACCCAACGTGCCTGTATCCATAGCACCTAGGCGGGGCTCATACACTCAGACCCTTCTCTTGGACCTGCAGGACAATATCATGACTGACCTGGAGGTGGAGAGTGACATCCTGGTATCTTCAGAAGCCCTTGAAGAGGAGGCCAAGTTAGACTTGGTCACCCCCGAGTCCTTTGCCCAGCCGAGCCACATGGGGAAGCCCATGATTGAAGACCCAGCTGTGGAAGTGGTCAAGAAGATCCTGCAGTGAGTGGCCATGGGGTGTACAACAGGGCCCTGCCACCAAACCTCATGGCCCAGAGTCTCCAGGGACCATCTGTGGGCTCCCACATATGAGGTTCCCACCCCTGACAGCCTGTGACTTCATATAAGGGCCTCTCCTCTTGAGCCTCAGTTTCTCCCTCGGAAATAGGGGTCATAATAAGACAGGTACACATGATATTGTGGGCTGAGATGTTACCCAGTGCCTGACTTGAGCTGTCCTCATGGTCACTGGGGAAAAGCTCATGTTCTTTCCTTTGGTTTCAGGTTTCCTGACACAAAATGCTCAAACCAGCAGTGTGACAAAGACCGGTCCCAGACAGGTAGAGGCTAATAGGCCTGTGGGTGTCAGGGCACCGATGGTGGGGAAGCCAGTATTGCCACCTGGTCCATCTTCACCAGGTCCTCTCTTCTTTTCCTTGGGTCCTCATCAATCAAAGGCTTGAAGCGACACCAGAATCGAGGAGAACATGCAGTGAGAAAAGCCCTGTCCAGTGCCAGTGCCACTTCAGCAGGAAGGTAGGGATGCTGGACTGCCCAGGATCTCCCCTTCCAGGTGCATTCCCCAACCCCCTAGGCATAGGCCAGAGGCCACCCTGTTGCTTCACCAGACTCTCCTCAGAATGCAATGCCTGTGCTCACAGCTCTGAGACCCTAAGGGACCCAGTGAGCGGTTGGCTCTGAAGTTCTGTGTTCATTCCTGCTGAGTGCCACAGCTTACATAGGCTCCCACCTTGAGAACCCATCTGAGTGTTCAGTGGTTTTCCATGAGTACAGTGGGCAGATCCCAGCCCTCTGCCCATACCCATCATCCTGGTAAAAAATAAAAATAAAAAAAAATAAAGAGGGATATTGGAGATGGCTTGTTGGAGGAATCCGAGACTTCTGCATCCTGGCCATGTACTCTGCCCACTATGCCCCCATCAGGGTCGTCAGACTCATGGTCCAGTGCAGGTGGGGCCCCACTGTCCCCCAATGCTGATGTTATAGAAGGCGAGTAACAGAGCCAGTGGCTGAACTGACTTCTGGGTTCTCTGTGGGAACCATTAATGTGGTTTAATTCCTGGTTTTGAGGAAGTAGCAGTGAGGAATCTCCTGCTTTGCATACCTCCCAGAGGTCCTCTTGAGGACGAATGCCATCTGCAATGTGGAAATAAACCTAAGACCAACCGGATGAGAAAAGCAAAGGCTATTTATTCGGAGCTTGGTACATACAGCAAGGGGGTCAACCATCATCATTTAGGTTTTAGTAGAGACTCAAAAGCAGGCAAGGGAGACTGGTGGAGAAAGGGAGGGCTTTAGGTGTGCTTTTATTGGAGGCTGTTGATGTAGGGAAGCTAGAAGCAGGCTAGCTAGCAGCAGGCATTCAGTGTGATTATTTACAGCTGCAAATCTGGCTTTCTCTGGTTGGTCCTAGGTTAGAAGCAGGGACAAAATTTAGGGAAGCTGTCAGTTAGTAATCAAGTCTCAACCATTTGGAGCTGATTGTCACAGGAGTTATTGCTTAGCACTTTGGATTGCCACGAGAGAGAACAACATGGCTTCCGGCAAGCCTGACCTACATCAGGCTGACTTCCTGAAGTGTTCACTGTAGACAAGGAGCTGGTTTCCCAGGCAGGTTGCTGCAGGTTCTGGGTCAGAGTTCTGTACTTAGGTACAGTCCAGCTATTATCCGTTCATATATTCAGTCTCTCAGTGGTTACAAAATGAAGTCCATGTTGCTGGGGCTGTCTGGTGTTATATGGGACATGCTGACACCAAAAATTACTCGCTGCTTCCATGAAATTCAAGGTTAACTGGATATATTGTATTTTTTTTTAAGATTTTATTTATTTATTCATGAGAGACACACACACACAGAGGCAGAGACACAGACAGAGGGAAAAGCAGGCTCCCTGCAGGGAACCCAATGTGGGACTTGGTCCTGGGACTCCAGGATCACACCCTGGGCCAAAGGCAGGTGCTTAACCGCTGAGCCAGCTGGGTGTCCCTGGACGTATTGTATTTTTATTTAAAAAGCACTTCCACCTGTTTTTCTTTGGGTCCTCACCACAGGGAAGCAAGGACACATATCTTTGGGCCTTCGTTACCCCCCCTCAGGGGCCTTAGGTCGGTTTTAGCCATAAGAACTTCACCCCCCACACACCACCCCCCACCCCCCCCTCCCACCCCCCCCCCCCCCCCCCCCTAAGGTTGTCTCCACAGCTGTGAGGGAGTAGAGAAGTATTTTGAAGGAGTCAGCCTCAGACTCAGGAGTCACAGTGTCACACAAGCAGACCCAGAGCCCCAGCCACGTAGGTGGGGCTCCCGCAGACCGGCCTGCCTACGCCAGCCTCCAGAGCGCTGACTCCCCTGTGTCTCACAGCTTCACGCGGTACTCCAAGCCGCCCAACCGCGCACGGACAGAAAGTACCAGGTGCTGGGGGAGAAGCCACCACCTCCCGCTGAGTAAGTGCCAACTCCATTTTAACCCATTGTCTCAGTCAGGGGGTGGCTCACCTTGACACAACTGAGGGAAACCAAGAAAGGGGGGGGCTGGGCAGAGCACAAGAGGTAGGTGAGGGGACAGGAAGGGGTCAAGGTCAGTGTGTCTCATCCCAAGAGACATTTTCACCAAAATTTTACATCCTCCAAGCTAAGGTTTTTGGGGTAGCAGAGTAACATACCCCTTTCAAGTCTGAGGTTAGTTTGTGGGGTTTAAAAATTTTTTTTTCTAATGCCTCACCTTCCCCATTCCTCTTTTCCTTTATTTTAATTTCACTGATTTTTTTTTAAGATTTTATTTATGTATTCATGAGAGACACACACAGAGAGAAAGGCAGAGACACAGGCAGAGGGAGAAGCAGGCTCCACTCAGGGAGCCTGACTTGGGACTCAATCCCCGGTCTGCAGGATCAGGCCCTGGGCTGAAGGCGGTGCTAAACCGCTGGGCCACCCAGGCTGCCCAATTTCACTGATTAAAACAAACACTGTTCCATGTCATATGGCTACCCTTCAAGCAAACAAGCAGGATTTCAACTTTAGAAAATTAGGAGCACTCAGAGAAAGTCAAGATCTACAGTGGACATGGACACACACGTACCCCTTGAACAGGGAACTCACCATCTTAACACCCCTACTTATTAGTCTTTTTGCCCCACTGGTCTTATCTTTGGGGTTTTGTGAACTTTGCAAAAAAAAAAAAAAGGGTGGCTTTCACTTCATGTGGCCCAGAAGTTGGGTCCTAGGTCATCAGCTAGATGCTCCCTTATCCCCCCCACCAAAAAAAAGACATTCTATATCATTAAAAACCTTGACTCTCTCTCAGTTGTGTATGGTTCTGTCATCTTATCACTTGTGTATATTCACGTAACCATCAGCACTATCCAGAAACAGAACTGTACCATCACCACAACTGTTCTGTCCCTCTCACTATCCCTTTATAGCCATACCCACCCTCTCCCTCACCATCCCTAACCGTGAGCAACCACTAATCTGTGTTCCATCCTTATTATTTTGTCACTTCAAGAGCGTCATATGAAGGGTCTTACATACTGTATGACCTTCTCAGAGTGGCTTTTTGCACTCAACATAAAGGCCCTTTGAGATCCACCCAAGTGGTCACATGTATCAATAGTTCATCCCTTTATATTGCTAAATAGTTAGCCACCATATGGATACACCACAGTATTTTAGTGGTAAAAAAAAAAAAATCACAGGCTAACCAGAAAATGTAATAAATAAATCGAGCACTTATGAAATCTTTCTCTCTCTTTTTAAAGATTTTATTTATTTATTCATGAGAGACTCAGAGAGAGACAGAGACATAGGCAGAGGGAGAAGCAGGCCTGTGGGGAGCCTGATGTGGGACTCGATCCCAGGACCCCAGGATCATGACCTGAGCCGAAGGCAGATTCTCAACCATTGAGTCATCCAGGCATCCCACATTTATGAAATCTCTGAAAGGGAAGAGACTTTCCTGGCCCTAGCACAGTGGTGAATTGGTCAGAAAATGGAATCAGACTGATGATGTTTTTACCCCCATACTGGGACTCTGGTTAAGTCCCAAGCCTTCATCTTCCTTGTGTACTGCGGATAGAAGAGAATCCTCCCCTTGAAGCTGTGAAGAGGAGCCAGTGTGTCACCCATAGGCCTCCTTTGAGTATACAGGATCATCACCCCAAGAAGCGCTAGATGAAACCGCAAAGAAAAAGATGGAAAATTTTGTCAAATAAATTTTTAAACCCTTTTGAGGTAAAATGCAATTAAAAATTAGACAGCAACCAGCCAAGACACAGTAGTGGGAAATAAGGCCAACAAAGGACAAATTGGCTCTTCTCCCTGCTCCTTTGACCCAGCAAATTGCTAAGGAAATTTCCAGCACTCAGTAGGGTAAGGGGAGAATTGGAAGAGATCACATGCAAGGAGAAAATAAAATTAGGAATAAACATGTGGAGAAGACACTAATTCTCTCTAGAATGCAAACAAATGTAAAGGGAACAAATCCATTTTATATTTTGCCTGAGATTTAGCAATATGTAAATAGACTTTAGAAGAAGTTCTCAGTTTATTAAGGGAGGGTATGGATGGTCCCTCCCAGGCACACCTGTGCAAGGTGTTAAGGGAAAAATTGTTCTGATACTTGTTAAAATAGTAAGGCTTTGTGCAGGAGTGTTGCAATAGATGTCAAGACTATTCCAATAGGGGAGAGATAGGGCTCAACTCAGAACACAGTAAGGGCAAGAGAAGATTTCTAACCAATGTGCAGAGCAAGGGGTCAGTGGATGGGAGTCTTGCTAAGCCTGCTTGGTAGGATTCTTGGTACAGGCAGGCCATGGTGATCAGATATCAAAGGTGATCAGATATCAGGGTAGGGGGTTGTTCATAAACTGGCTTACTTGCTGGGACACCTCCATGGCTCAGTGGTTGAACATCTGCCTTTGACTCAGGTTGTGATCCCGGGGTCCTGGGATCAAGTCCCACATCAGGCTCCCCGCGGGGAGTCTGCTTCTCTCTCTACCTATGTCTCTGCCTCCCTCTCTGTGTCTCTCATGAATAAATAAATGAAATCTTTAAAAAATAAACTAAACTAACTTACTTGCTAACATAGGACCCAGCAGGGATGCCCAAGGATGAGGCCTAGTCGAGAAGGAGGCTCAGGAGAGCTTGTCTAAAGTTTGGTCAAGCAGAGAGTCATGGTCAGTCCCTCCTCTTATTCAAGGAAAGAAGATTCATTCTTCTTGTCTTTGGACAGTATCAGTTCATTTCTCATTCATTCAGCTTTCGTTTGCTAAAGACCAGGTGAACCATGTGTTGAGACTTGGTGGTAGGGTAGCCAGCCAAGATTTCTAGATGTTGGGCCTGAGGCATCCTGAGTGGCCCACACAGGAGCAGCTTCAGGCATTACAGTTGTCCATCATCCAGCATCAGCTTGTTGGACTTTGTTATATTTTGGAGGGAAAGCCAGCCTTTACATGACAGAAAGTCCCAATAAGGATCCAGGCATCAAGTTCTCAGAGGCATCAAGTCAGGAGGGTGGGAGAGAATTTGGAAACATTAATGTGAGGAGTTGTAGCCACGAATTGAAGAAAACTAGAAGAATTGAGAGGTTGGTGAGAACTGAAAAAATGTGCCAGACGGCAAGATCCCAGTCCAGTTTACAGGCAGGTAACAAAATCTCAAAGACAGTGAACAGTACAAGAATTTTCTACCCCACAAGACTGTGCTATAGTTTTCCACTGAGGCATAAAACTTCTTTCACTCCTTTTTCTGATGCTTGCCTACAAAAGAAACCTGATCTCTTCAGATTCGATCTGATTATTAATGTAGGTGTAGGGAGAAGGGTAATTGACCACATAGATTTTTTTAAGTTTGTGTTGCTGGAACTCTTCATTAAAGAATTTCAGATGAGACTTCAAAAAAAAATTAAGCTCATACAAATCAAAACCACAATGAGATACCACCTCACACCAGTGAGAATGGTGAAAATTAACAAGACAGGAAACAACAAATGTTGGAGAGGATGTGGAGAAAGGGGAACCCTCTTGCACTGTTGGTGGGAATGTGAACTGGTGCAGCCACTCTGGAAAACTGTGTGGAGGTTCCTCAAAGAGTTAAAATAGACCTGCCCTATGACCCAGCAATTGCACTACTGGGGATTTACCCCAAAGATGCAGATGCAGTGAAACGCCAGGACACCTGCACCCCGATGTTTCTAGCAGCAATGTCCACAATAGCCCAATTGTGGAAGGAGCCTCGGTGTCCATCGAAAGATGAATGGATAAAGAAGATGTGGTCTATGTATACAATGGAATATTCCTCAGCCATTAGACACGACGAATACCCACCATGTGCTTCAACGTGGATGGAACTGGAGGGTATTATGCTGAGTGAAATAAGTCAATCAGAGAAGGACAAACATTATACGGTCTCATTCATTTGAGGAATATAAAAAATAATGAAAGGGAATAAAGAGGAAAGGAGAGAAAATGAGTGGGAAATATCAGAGAGAATGACAGGACATGAGAGACTCCTAAATCCAGGAAATGAACAAAGGGTGGTGGAATGGGAGGTGGGCGGAGGTTTTGAGTGACTGGGTGACAGGCACTGAGGGAGGCACTTGATGGGATGAGCACTGGGTGATATGCTGTATGTTGGCAAATCAAACTCCAATAAAAAAATATACAAAAATGGGCAACCCTGGTGGCCCAGTGGTTTAGCACCGCCTTCAGTCCTGGGGACTCAGGATCAAGTACCCCGTTGGGCTCCCTGCATGGAGCCTGCTTCTCCCTCTGCCTGTGTCTCTGCCTCTGTGTGTGTGTGTGTCTCTCTCTCATGAAAATAAATAAATAAAATCTTTAAAAAATATATACAAAGAAAAGTAAAAACAAATAATAAAATAAATAAAATTTAAGTTCAATTTAATTAACATATAGTATATTATTAGTTTCAGGGGTAGAGTTCAGTGATTCATCAGTTGCATATAACACGCAGTGCTCATCACATCATGTACCCTCCTAATGCCCATCACTTAGTTACCCCTTCCTCTTACCCATGTCCCCTCATGCAACTCAGTTTGTTTCTTATTAGTTGAGTGTCTTATGTGTTTGTCTCCCTCCCTGTTTTTGTTTTATTTTATTTTTCCTTCTCTTCCTCTATGTTCATCCATTTTGTTTCCTAAATGCTACATATGAGTGAAATCATATGAATTTTATATTCCTCTGACATTTCGCTTAGCATAATACCCTCTAGTTCCATCCACACCATCTCAAATAGCAAGATTTCATTCTTTTTGATAGCTGAGTAATATTCCATTGCATGCATATGTGTGTGTGTGTGTGTGTGTATATCACATCTTCTTTACCCATTCATAAAGTTAGACTTTTAAAATCCTCTTGAGGCTAGGAAATGAGGCCAGATTTCACCCGTAAACCCTCTAGATTTAGGTGAAACCTCTCTTTTTGAGGCCCCCACAATATCCTAAGGTTCCTGGGCTTGCCAGGAAGGGGCCTTCCTTACTCACCTATAAGGCTAGGAACCCTGTAAACCAGGTACAGGCTGGTTTTCCCAAGAGGGCTTTGTAAGCGTTGGGTCCATAAAGACCTTAGCTCCTTAAAATTGTCTGGTCATATCTGATTCTATGTGTCCTTCTCCATATGACATTCCAGTCAAAGCCTTGGTTATATATCAGCATTACCAGTTATGTCCCATTATAAGAAGGATGATTGTTACTGAACTCATGTGAATAGATTTATTGCCATGAAAAGAGGTATACTCGACAAGTTTTCAAATCCTGGGGTGCATACAAGTAGCTAAAACACTCAACCTGTTTCCAATTAGTCCTTTTTCCTTTTCAATCTCAGGTATTTGTTTTTAGGGTCCTCTGAGAACCCCAGGGGGGACGGGAATCCCAAAGTCCAAGGTATTGTGGGAGCTGAGGGCAGGAAGTGGGAATGGAGGGGTCTTGCAAGGTGGACAGAGGTGGCACTTGCAGGGGCATATTGAACCAGGTACCAGGAAACCGAAGGGGAGATGGAGGTGGTAAGAGGAGGAGTTCAAGGAGCAGAGGTGAGGTGAAGGCAGAGGGCTTAGATGGGCCAGTCTGGGGAGATGTGAAGTTTCCCAGAGAAGCCAGTGAGATTCCACATTATTCTTAGTAAATTCATGCCAGTGGCATGAATCACACAATGAAATACTGTTTGGGAAAGGATGGTGAAAACATATGAAGGAGCCTGCCTAACACTTGGCCAAGAACAGTTTTTGTCATGGCCAACAGCAAATGATCTTTCCAGAAAGCAGTTTGGGAAGATAGTAAAGGTTATGCCTTTATGTGCAACTCCTTAGGTGTCTCTCCCAAGGAAACCATCCTATCAAGAAGAGAAAACTTGCACAGAAAGATACACCGTGGAATACTCTTTATCCCAGTTAAAAATGGGAAACCCTAAGAGTTCAAAAATAGGATATTGTAAACCATGCTGCTTCCATACTTGATGGTGTTACACAGGCATTTAAAAAGATATCTTAATGTGGGGGAACACTTAACAAGTGAACAGAATGTGAAATACACGTGAACCTAATTCCAAATTGATTTTAAAAGCAGCAGAAGTAAATATGATAAAATGTTGGCCTTTTTATCCTTTGTTCTTCAGTATATTACTAATTTTCTTTAATTATAATGAATGAATTCTCAAATGAAACATCAAGTGACCTATACACATTTATTTTAGAAATTGGCCAACGATGTACGTGAACAACAGTTGCTGAATCACTTAACAGAAACTGAAAAATCAAGTGTCCTACAGCTACATGTGGTTCTCAGACACCTCTCCCTTGTTTCACTCCAACTATAGAGAAGGTTGACCTAACTGGACAAGAATATCCAATGGGTCTATGCAAATTTGTTTAACAAAGCCGCAGTGTGTGCACAGTCAGCCTCAAGGCCAGAAGTGGCAGAAGGAGGATGTTTGGTCCTATAGGAAGTCTTGCTCGTTTAATTAATAATTATAAGAAATTGTTCTTTCAACCAATACTGACGTACTGACAAGTGCAGACATTGTAGTGGGGTGGGGGCGGGGGTTTCTTGGTGAGCAAAAATAGACACAACAGTCTGTGTCCAGGTGGACTTTACCATTTTTCTGGGAGAGAGAGAGGTTAATCAGCCAGTCACACAAATCAATCCCAAATCCCCCTGTGGGGAGTGTTATAGGGCTAAGGACCACTCTGAGAGCATGGGAATAGGATGGTCAGGAATTGCCACCAAACTGGGATCTGAGGAAGAGCAGTAGCAAATATGACCAATAGGAAAGTTAACAGTGTTCTCTGGGGAGGCATTGGTGTATGCAAAGGTCCTTGGGCAGGAGCACATAGCTAGCTATAAGAAGTGATGAGGCCAAAAGAGAATAGACTCTTGGAAGAGGCCAAACCCAGCTTGTCACAACAAGAGGCATTAAACTAGGCAAATAGGAATAGCAGGTGAGAGAACCTGGGCATCGTATGAACCGTCCAATTCTAGGTAGGCTGCTGAGCACTCAGAATGTTCTATCCATTTGGTTTAGTCCACACCATTTGGTAAGATTAGACAAGGCTTCTCAGGGATCTGTCTTTTGTGTGTTGCAGGGATTTTAAAGGGATCATCCTGACCCTCCTCTGGGAGAGCAATGAGCATCTGCTAAACGTTGTGGAGGTGAGGGCTGCTACCCACAGGCCTCTGTCTGTCTCTTGGCCGGCTGCTGGCCACACATCCCCAGCTGCCTCTGCTTCTTGTGTTCTGCTGATAATGGCCTTGTGGGTGAAACTGAGGAAAGGGGATTTCAGCTCCCACAACCACAGCTACCCAGCTTCTGTCACCTAATGTGTTTTCCTTGAAATTAAACCTCATTCATTCATTTACCATGTATTGAGCCACCAGACATTTCCTGGATACTGTGTGTCAGATATTGGGTGGGCCAAGCGGAACAAGCCCAGTTTCTGTCCCTGGGAGGCCAGCACCCTGCAGATGGGCAACAGACATGGTGGTACCACAGGGAGATGGGTGGGGCTGCTGGAGCAGGCATCCGGGGGGGCCTTCAGTGGGAGCTACCCAGGACCCAGTTCCAGCACAACCCACATAGGGGTGTCTGTGCATGTTCCTGTCAGCCTCTCACTGGGCTGCAAATTCTGTAGGACAGGGGCTCTGGATCTTCCATATTTGTGGCTTGGTCTAGTACCCAGCATGGTACTTCATAGAAAGCTTCATGGAAACCTCTCAACCTGGTCATTGAAATAAGATTCCGTTTGGGTCTTGAAGGACAAATAAAGTTTTGCCATTTGGTCTCTTATGCCTTGCATACTGGGATAATGACAGCAGAGTAAAGGGCGGCTGGGTAGGAAGTGTCACAGGTGGAGGTGACATGAGGAGAAAGGGTTAGGTGGTATAGAGAACAGGGTGGAGGTTGGAGAAGCATGGGCCAGAGCCTCCTGGTGAAGGTCCTCGCCCATACATCGTCAACCTCTCTTGCAGGACTTTTACCGCAGAGAGAAGCGCTCAGTCACCAGGCCTGACTGCATGTATGAAAACTTTGACCAGTGCGCAGAGAACATTTGCAAGAAGATCCTGGAGTACCACGCCCAGACAGAGGAGTACCATAACTCCTGCCTCATAGGTGAGTGCAGGAGGCAGGTGGGCAGGCAGGTCAAGGGTGTGACCTGTGCCACCCACTGAGCAGAGCCTGAGCCTCACAGCCTGGAGGACGCCTCCCTGACCTGGAGGTCACCGGCGGGGGGACGCCCAGGAGCTCCCCTGTGAAAAGCTAGCATCTTAGAATGAGGTAAAAACATTGATCGGATTTAACTGGAAAAAACAACATTGAAAAAAAATCACCGTTCTTGAGAAATCTGGTGGTTCATATCACTAAGAATGTTTTGTTCATTGCACAGATGATTTTGACAGTTCTATTGAGATACATACCATTACAATTTGCCCACGTAAAGTGTACAATTCAATGGATTTTAGTATATTCACAGAGTTGGGCAACCATCACTGCTCTCAGTTTTAAAACCCTGTCCCATGGGATCCCTGGGTGGCTCAGCGGTTTAGCGCCTGCCTTCAGCCCAGGGTGTGATCTTGGAGTCCCGGGATCGAGTCCCACATGGGGCTCCCCGCAGGGAGCCTGCTTCTCCCTCTGCCTGTGTCTCTGCTTCTCTCTCTGTGTCTCTCATGAATAAATAAATAAAATCTTAAAAACAACAACAACAAAAAAAACCCTGTCCCTTCATCACTGCCTCAGCCCTAAGCATCACTCAGCTACTCCCTCTTTAGATTTTCCTATTGTGGGCTTGCAAATGAATGGAACATACCATGTGGTCTTCTTTCATTTTGCATAATGTTTTCAAAGTTCATCCATTTCATTGCAGGTGTCAGAATGTCATTCCTTTTTTATGGCTGATTCTTTTTCTATTGTGTGCATGTACTGCAATTTTTTTTATCCATTCATTGGTAGACATCTGGCTGCTTTGCCCTTTGGCTACTGTGAATAACGTTGCCACAAACATTCACACACACGTTTTGTGTGGACATACGTCTCGGCTGTCTGACTAGGAGTGGGATTACTGGGGCATGTGGTAACTCTGTATTTGACCGTTTGAAGAAAACTTTCCACAGGTATTTGTTAAGAGCCTACTGTATGGCAAGCCTGTACTGGGCTCTAATGACCCTGATAAACACAGCCTCTTGGAGAAGAGGGACATGAACACAGGCAGATAGACTACATTGTGCCATTCACATTTATTCTAACAACATTAAAGAAGCTGTGAAAATACCCGGTGCCTACCTTTGCTCATTTCTCCATGTTCCTCTGCATCTTTGTCTATAGCCGTGTATGTTGTATACAATTGTAAGTCCTAATTGTTCCTGCCTCTAAGGCCTGCTGTCTTGGTTGAGGAGCAGCATGGGTAGAAGAGGAAGAGGATTAGGGGACAGCCAGACCTAGGGTCAAGACCCAGCACTGCTGTCTCCCTGCCTTATGACCTCGACCCAGTCCCTCACCTCAGTTTCCTTGTCTGTACACTGGAGATTAAGACAGCACTCACATGCAGGGCTTTTCTGAGGATTAAGCTGGCTGCAGAGACCTGTCACATCCAGGGAAGATCATCCATGGTGGCTGTCACTGTAGAGCGACTGGAATTCAAAGTACTGCAGCATTTTGTTTCTCTAGCTCAGAATTTCCCCACGTGAACTCTGGGATCCCATCCTCTATGACCTTCCTCAAAAGAAAGCATCTGTAGGAAGCCAGTGGGAGTCCAGTATCCTGACCAACTCTCCCAATGAAAACATTTAAAAGTATTGAATATAACATTTTTGTGATAAAGTCTTTTAAATGTATTGATGAACTACCCATAAAGCAAGAAATATAACAAGGCCCTCAGACTGAGTGAAAATAGAAACTCCAGGAGAGAAATTGTACAGTAACACATTGCCTGAAGGCCTTTGCTGACTCCCAGGTGAATTTGAGCTTTGTTTCTATGGCCTCCAGGGCCTTGGGAACAGGAGACAAAGCCCCAGACCACCCAAGTTGGAAAGTCTGGAAGGACAAAGCCACAGAAAACTGCCCCACCCCCCTCACAGGGCAACTGCTGCAGAGTAGGGTGAATGAGACAGAAACCAAGTCCCCATTTCCACTCCCACACCACTGCCACCACCAGTGACCAGAAGGAATTTTTTTTTCAAGATTTTATTTGTTTATTCATAAGAGACACACAGAGAGAGGGAGAGACACAGGCAGAGGGAGAAGCAGGATCCCTGAGGGGATCCTGATGTGGGACTCCATCCCAGGACCCTGGGATCATGCCCGGAGCCAAAGGCAGATGCTCAACCACTGAGCCACCCAAGTGCCCCAAAAGAAATGGTCTTATTAAAAACTCTGCTATCAGGTAAAGCAGAAGGAAAACTCCAACAAGAATCCATAACTGTAAAGCAGCCTCTGTGCCTGAGTTCGACTTTGTTTTTGTGGATCATCCAAAAGACTTCTAGCTGATAATTTAGCTTAAAATGATTTTTTAGTTAGTTGTCCCCAGATGCTTATCTGGTAGAGACACTACAAACACTCTCTAGGAAAAAAAAAAAAAAAAACTCGCCTTCAATTCAGACCTCTAAGGATTCTCACAAATCAAATGCCCAGAATAAGAGCTCCCAGTAAAACACACACGCGCGCGCGCGCGCACACACACACACACACGTAAAGGGCCCCTTGAGCATGAGGCAGAAGAATGAGATCAGTAGAGACTTCGGATTGAACATATCAGACACAGAATATAAAATCATGTCTTTATTCGAATTAATTAGAAAAGGATACTGGAAGCACAAGTAAGAAGGGACTAAGTAGATAGGAAAGAAAACCACATAGAACTTCTGTATTGGAAGAATAAATAGTTGAGATTTTTAAATTATGAATGGCTTTACTATCAAAGAAAATATCCAAAATTCAACAGAGAAAAATAAAGAGATGACAATCTGGGTGAGGCGTAAAGGGATATTGATGAAAAGGTAGGTCTAACATAGAGCTGCCTAGGGTTCTGGAGGGACAGAAGGGGCCTAGAGTTGAGGCAGTCTTTGAAGGACAACTCCTCAAGACTTGCTGCGCTTTTCTTCAACTGTAGAGTGTTGAAGAAAAGTCCTTTGAATTTGTTTAATCCAGTGTTTTCTATACTGCTCTGACCACATGACCCCTTCTGATGAGATAGTTATTGCCATGTTGTAAATCAAGTCTTTCTCTTAGGGTCACTGCTTTGGGATTTTGTGGGAGTGATTCCTTCAGAACCTTGGTTTTGCTCTGTCCCTTCCCCTGGTCCCCCACCTCCAATTACTATAGAATTGCGGGCCCAGATGAGGAGATTTGAGGAGCTACTGCCCCAAGTGTGCTGGCTGGTAATGGAGAACTTCAAGGAACACCACTGGAAAAGATTCTGCGCCTCTGCCAATGAGATCCGAAGACAGTTCTGGGATTATCAGGAGAAGCTGGAAAAAAGGAAGGTGGGAGCCCCAGGACCGATCCTTCCTCTCTGGGACCAAGAGCCCTGGGAGCTCAGAAATGGAGGTGGGGCATAGGCAGAACTGGCTTGGCTGGGGTTGTTGGATGGGGGGCTGATGGGCACGGAACATTGGAGAAATGCCTTCTTCATAGAAGGTGTTCAATAAACTTCTTTTTAGATTTACTGGGTGGGTCTGATGTTTCTTTGGGAGTGTGATCCTTGACATGAACAACAATGGTCTTACTGGTCCTTGGTGGCATGGGACATGGATGCCATTGATTTTATTGGACTAAGGACCTAGTTTTACTAAAGCAACTAACTGCTCAGTTCTCCCAGTCCCTAGCCCTCAGTGTCAGCTCCAGCCATGGCCCTATCTTACCTTCTCTGCCTCTTCTCTGCTCATCCATGGCCGTTCATACACCCAGGTCAGGGCACACATCATTCTGGCCATGGCCATGATTATTAGCAGAGGACATGGGCCAATGACATTTTGGTCCTGACCTAAAGACCAAGTCAAAGTCCCCACTAATTTATGGATTGTTTGAAGGATGAAAATGCCCACAAGCTCCATCAAAATCTCGGACATCCTGCACATTTCCAAGAAATGGAGTCTCTGTGTCAAGTGGAAGAGAAAAGGCAGGACGATTTAGACACTGTGATTATGACAACCAGGGAGAAGCTTGAGGTCAGTGGTGCCATCAATTCCCAGGTCTGGGTGCTGAGGGCTGTACTACCCCCAGGGAGATTCCCTTGGCTGACAGTCCAGCAATAGCACTGAGCATGGCCCCTAGCTGGCACCCTGGTGGAAGGGGGGGCATGAAAGCCCACAGGTCTTAGAGGGTTGGCTGCTTACTACTGGCTGGCTTAGTGAGAATCTTTGATTTCTAAATTAATTAACTACAAAATTACTAATGGGAATCTTTTTTTTTTTTTTTTGAGATCCATGTCTATTTATTACTCTTCAGTGAATTGTTTGTTTGTGGCCATTGTTGAATCATTTCCTATCTTCAAGCCCAGTCAGCTCTTGGGAGAGGCCTCTTGGCTGAGGACCAGATGCCACATACCTTGGACATAACTGACACATGGCTTTAGTCTTGTCTCACCTGCTGGCTCCCCAAGTCCTCCCTCAGCCTGCCGTGAGAGGCAAGCTCCTCTCCCTGCAACACCAGATTCCCCATGTTTCACTCAGGAATTCACCAGGAAATATGGCCGGTTTTTCATAGCCAGCTTGGCCACCTTTGCCGAGAAGTTCTTGCTGCAGTTGGATGAAGTGGTCACCATCGATGATGTCCGGGTTGCAAGTAAGTGGTACTACTGGCCTTGTGCCTGAGGCCCAGGGGGTTGGTGAATGGAGGGTGATGGGCTGGGGGCATTTGCTTTTCCCCAGTTCCACCAGAATGAAAACAGATTCTCCACTGAGAGGACTGATGAATTTTTGTTTCATTAAAAGTAAGTTTTTTTTTTAAATTAAAAAAGCAAACACCTCTCCCTCCAAAAGAAGAGGAAGTAGAAGAAGAAGACGAAGAAGAAGAAGAAGAAGAAGAAGAAGAAGAAGAAGAAGAAGAAGAAGAAGAAGAAGAAGAAAACACTCAACGGGTCAAAGATTATATGTAAAAAATGTAAAAAAATAAAACCCTAATAGTAAATATTTTCATAATCTTGGGGTAGGGATAGCTTTCCTAAGTACGAGATGAGAGCCAGAAGTCATTAAAGAAATGGCAGGCACTCCTCTCTGGCCAAAATAAAAACAAAGAAAAATGTTGAAAAATTGAAAGACACACCACAAGCTGAACAGATATTCTTAATAAGCCATAGGTCAGAAAAAGACCTAACATCCCTGTGGCATAGGTTAAATTTGTAAAAAGAGCCAAAGGACAAACATGTGCAGTTCAGGAGAGAAGCAATTCGTACAGCCAGTAAGTATAAAGGATGCTTGACCTTGACGGTGAGGATGAATCATGAGAACAAAGACATCTATTAAGATATCATTTTCACCCACAGCCTGGCAAGGTTTTCAAATTTAGTGACAACCAGCCCTGGTGAGGATGTCAGAAAGCCCAAGCACCACAGAGACTGTTGGAGAAGCACATGTCAGTATCGCTGTGTCAGAGAAGCCTCTGTCAGTACCTGTCACAACTGGGAGCGTGTATACCTTTGACCTGGCAGTTCTAACCCCAGGAATTTATGCGACAGAAATAGTTACATAATTTTTCAAGCATACCTTTTCAAGTATATTCACCACAGCACTGTTTGAGATTGCAGAGAATTGGAAATGACACTAACATCCACGTATAGAGGATTGGGTCAGTAAATTATGGTCCAATGTATGAGTACGTATGATGCAGCTGTCAAAGTGGGTGCAGTGGGTCTCCACATGCCAATGTGGAAAGTTGGGGGGGATACTGTTATGGGAAAAACAAGTTGATAATTGGTATTTACCTATGATAGCATTTTTTTAAAAAATTGCATATGTGATATAAACATGTGCACTCACATATATATAAAGGAATCTGTGTGAGACACAGAGACAGAGAGACATAGAGAGTGAGAGAGACAGAGCCTGAGGGACGGGTACAGGACTGCTGACAGTGATCAGCTCTGGTGGGTGGAACCGTGAGAGACTCCTAAAATTGTTTATTCCCCGCCCCCCCCATTAGGTGATGTTTAAATTTTTCATCATGTCTGTATTACTTTTACAACTATATAAAGATTTGAATCATATATTAAATGTTATCCATTTATCACTTAGTAATTAAAATATTTTTTATTTTTAAAAGTTTTTTATTACAAGGACAATAAGAATTTTTTTATAATAAAACTAAAAATATCAGTTTCAAAGGAGGTGAAGAGCACAGTCCTTCTACCCACGACTAAGTGCCCTTAACATTTGTTGTCCATCCTTCCAGTCCTTTCCTTTGGGGCACAGGCCGGAGTGTGTCTGCCTGTGTGTGTGTGTGTTGGGGGGTGTTACTGGGTGTGTGCTCTCTTATAACTTAATTCACCCTCAGGTGACGTTGGCCAAGCCAGTCAGTCACCTCCTTGAGCGATTTCTCTTGCTGTGTGTTGTAATTTATTAGTTACTCCCCTGCTGTCGAACGTTGGGCCATTTCCTGTTTTTCACTCCATCCTTGTGCTGAAGGGAACATCTGCATCCTTAGATCTCTATCTGGGGCAATAGGTTCCTAGAAGTGGACTTTTTTGGGTCAAAATGCATACGCATTTTGAGGTATCAAGCATTTTCTGGAGGTCTTTTGTTGAGGAAGCAGCACCTGCTAAGGCACTAGCGATGAGGCCCAAGAGGGAAGGCACTCTTGATACCTTGGAAGGAACCACAGAGCTGGGGGGCCCCCCTGGAGCAGCCCCAGAGAAACCTCTCTTGCTGTAAGTCAGGCTTCCCAGCCGAACAGCATGGCCCTGCCCTCCACGGCAGGCAGATCAGGGCTGCTGCTGTCTGCTGGCTTGCACACCCACCACTGGCGCAGCCCCCTTGGGAAAACACAACAAAGGACAGTCAGCGGGCCAGACATCAGAAGGACAACAAGTATATGTTTGCCCCAGGGGTAGTTCTTAGTTCAGAACCCATTTGAGATAGTATAAACCAAAGAATCTTATCTGGAGGCTCATGGAAGCTGCACGAAGGTCAGAGCATCGTGCTCTGTGCTTTGGAGCGCAGAAGAGCACTGAAACCGTACCCCCCATCCATCAGCCAGACCCTCTGCCCGCTGCCACTGGCCGCCCCCCTGCCTCCACCCCAGGCTCACAGATTTGGTGCTTTCAGCTTTTCTGTGGGGCCAGGCTCTGCGTCCCACTGGAGACTCCAAGTGGGGAAGAGAGGAACAAACAAGCCCTCATCCCTCCAGACGTAAGGTCAGGGGGAAATCCCCTTGATCTCAGCCTGTGCGTGAGGCCATGGTCATAACCTGTCTTTTGCCTGCTAGAGATGGAGTCCCCCAAACAGAAGACATCAATCCTCATACGGAGGAAACTCGCTAGGCTTTCCCTGAAGGAAGAAAGTGAGAAGCCCCTGATTGAACGGGGGAGCAGGTAAGAGCCAAGAGCATTGAGGAATACCACCCACGGCTGTGTTTGCTGGAGCACAGTGCAGTGGACTGGTTAGGGGCACCTGGAAGCCTTAGAAAGGCACTATGTTCTAAGCCTCAGTTTCCTTACCTGTGAAATGGGCACGTCAGCCTACCTTCCATTGTATTATTATAAAGAGAAAGTTTAAGGAGATTGCCTTTAGAGTGCCCCTGGCACATAGTAAGAGCTCAGCAGCTATTAGTTCCCTTTATAAGAACCCACAAAGGGGCCTGCAAAGAAAGGGAGGCCCCTCCCAATGTGGGGCACACTCTCGAGTCGCTCATAGCACTGTGAGTCACCGTGCGTGAGCTGCCACAGTGCTGCACAGTTTGTTGCCTGTGCCCCAAGAATGTGGCTCTAGGAGAAGTCAGGCAGTGATTTGCCCAGCACAGTAGGAAAAATAGGCCAGGAAAAATGGGTCTGCCACCCGGCTGGCCCCCTCCTGAGGAGACAGGCCTGGAAAAGGGAGACAGCCAGAGCTGTGGCAGGCCTCCCCTCCCCCTCCATGCAGAACCCAGACCCTCTACATGCACTGGACTTAAACAGTGTGAAAGTACGAGAAAGAACTTAAAGAAGCTTAACGTTAAGTACTCAATAGGGTTTTCCTTTTAATGAAGATGTTTCAAACATGATCTTTAAAAAAAAAAAAGATATGCTAAACATTCCCACCAGGATTGGAGGGTACACTGTGAACCATGAGGATGACAAGCCCATCAGGCTTTTACATACATGTTTATTTGTAGGAAGTGGCCAGGAATCAAACCCACCGATGTCACCATCCAATATAAGATTCTTCTCCGGAAAACATCATCCATCACCACCACCAAAACAACCCTGGGCCACCTGGCAGCTGTGGAAGCCCGAGATGCCGTCTACCTGGTGAGCTGACAGACAGAGCAGGGCGTGCATGTCCCGGGGAGCACAGGGTGGCTCAGCGTGGCTTCCTTGGGAAGAAAGGAGTGTCCCATCACAGGGTGCCCTGATGTCTGGCCCATGGAGCAGATGACCCTTGGCAGGGTGCCCCAGGGCACAGTGCCAATGCTCAAGACAGTTAATGTTCTCAGACCCAAGGATGGGGTCTGTGGGTAATGTCCAGTCTCAGTGAGAGTGTGGGTCTGATGGCTTGGGCCCCAGTGCTGAGGGAACCCTACCAAGGGACACCATACCCAGATTGGGGGGTAAAGGAGGACCTTCTGGAGGAGTAGTTGAGTCAGAGTGAGGGGGCACAGTAGGAAGAGGCACAGTGGCCATGGGAGCAATGGGTGGCAGTGGGTGGAAGAGGCGGCAGTTACTAAGCACCTGCTGTAGCTTCTTTCCTCAACACGAGGTATCTTGTTGACTCCTCACAAGTATCCCACGAGGAAGGTAGATGTGTCCTCATTATTGGTGAGGACACTGAGGCTTACAGGAGTGTGTCCCCCTCATGCCACTCTGAAGTAGCAAAGGCAAGATTTGAATCCAGTGCCTATTAGACACCCATGGGGCCTGCCTGAAGAAGAGGCTCTGCCCAGATGCCACCTGTGGGACCTTTGGTTCTGGTGCCCAGAGAGGAACATTGTCCTGCCTGCAGACAAGATAGGCTGGTCCCTGTACTTGGAGAGCCCAGGCCCTGCCCTGGCCACCACGCCAAGCCCAGGGGAGAGTGGACAACTCTGGTGAGTTCAGTGAAGGTTCAAGATGTAGAGGGATCAGCCTTACAAGGGAAGCTGAGACCCTTGAGCTCCAAGGAGGCTGCAGTGCAGGATGGCAGTTAGGAACAAGTGCAATCCAAAGTCAGGGAAGTGGATCCTAGTTCCCGCTTAGACTCTTTCTAGCTGGGTGGCCCCAGGCAAGGTTTTGAGCCTCAGTTTCCCCATCTCTAAAATGAAGAAAACAACTGGACCTGCCTGATGGGTGGTTGGCACATTACCTGTGAGATGATTTGAGGAACTCTTGCCAGTGCCTGGAGTAGATTAAAAGCTACTTGCCAGCGGCTTACAGCATTCCTTTAGGGTAGAGAGTCCAGAATTCCCTTCTCATCTGGCCTCCTCCTGCTGCCTTGCTCCCAGAAATATTTAGCACTATTTGAAGAGGAGCTGAAGAAGATCCAGGATGACAACATGTCACAGGTGAAGGTGGCTCAGTGCTGGAAGGACAGCTGGAAGCGTTCCGTGCATACCATCCAGAGCCTGTACTTGTGACACCCTCAACCCTCCCCATGTAAAGGCTTATTTTTTATAGATTCCTTCTCTCTCCATCTGTCCATCTGTTCATCCATCCATCCATCCATCCATCCATCCATCCATCCCTGCTCTATACCCAGCACTGTGCTTCATCAGTGACCAGGACATGGTGTGGTCCATGCCCATGTGGAGATCATTTCCACTGAGGAGGACAGAGGTGAAAGGGGAGTTCCACATGATTAGCAGGGATGGTGGGTCACAGGAGTGGGCCACTTAAAATAGAGACCAGTACGTCAGAGGACATAATTCCAATAGGCATGCTTGGCACTTCCATCTTGGAAAACAAAATAATTAAAATATATGGGCACGAATATATTTTGTGTTTAATAGTATAAAATGATTACAGCCATGCAACCAACAAAGAATTAATCCAGTCTTGATTGGGTATCTGTCTGGCAATTTGCCTGACCAAATTATAACATTTTGAGGAAAATCTTCTAGGCGTGGGCCCCTTAAATCTTGTGAGACTCATATCTTTCTCTCTGAAAGTCTCCATTGTGCTATCTTCCTTGTTGATTCTATCTTCCTGGATTAGGTGGCCTAACCATGCCAAGTCTCATTGGTCAGGAGCTTTCCGTGGCACTTGGATGGGCTGTGTACATTCCTTTCTTGACTTCAACTCCTGTTTCTTTTACCTGGTTTGTGTTTTGACTTTGTATTAGTTTGGATTTTCCCATGCCTTACCTCTGTTAATGACTTGATGAGGTAGGCTTTTGCCCCCATTTTGCAGGTGTAGAGACTCAAGTCCAGAAGGCTGAGTCAACCTGCTCAAAGGCACACAGCCAGTATAGAACCCCAGCATAATTTTTGTTTCCCCCAAAGTGGACAAGGACTTGAGGACAACTCATTTGTTTTGGAAATTATCCCAAGAAGCATGAGTGAGACCATGGTGAAGGGGAACCTGGAAGGAGCCCTGGCCTTGCTTCTGGCCCCTGCCATTCCCCACCCCCACCAGGCATGTCCCGTCCTCATCACTTGTCCCTCACTCTGCATCACCTGTCCTCTGACTTGTCACTGACCTGGCTCTCCTGACGCCACTGTCCACACTAGGGGCTGTGGGTTCATTGTAGTTCCAGAGGTGGACTGCAAGACCCCAGTTCTGTCTTCTCAAAGCTACCCTTGGGACCTTAGGGATTCACCTATTGAGCAGGTATCCGGAAAACGGATGCCACTGCCCCATGACAGAGCTGCCTCCAACCTATTTCTACTCTCCTGCTCATAAGTTCTCCTGTGTCTGTTGTTTCTTGATCACGCCTCCATGTCCCCAACCTGAGAAGTCAGTATGAGTGAGGGTGCCTGTGCATGTATGAGGGAGTGGAGAGGAACATGATCCTATATGGAGAGAGTATAGACAGGGGTCCCCCTAGGATCTTAGAGGCTCTCACCATCAAGTAAATCCCTTAGGGAGGTATTGAGCCCTGGGCTAAAACTCTTCCTTTTCCTTTAGACTCTGCTTACCTCTTGGGCCCCAGACCAGTCCCTGACTCACTCTGGGCCTCAGTTTCCCAATTGTGCAAGAAGAGACTGGATATAGAACCACAAAAGTGAATGTTCAGTGAGGTCAGGCTCCATCAAAACAGGCTGGGATGTCAGGGTAGAATGGCGTGGGTGCAGAAAGGAACATAGTGCATGGCAGCCAGGCACACACAAACGGGCTCTAGGGAAGAGCCAAGAAGATGCATACACGTGAGTTGACGTGTACACATGTGCATTGCACTAGGGGCTCCACACATGAGGTTGGTCTCCTTCAGCCAGCTCTGTGCACCCCACAGCTGCTGAGGCCTGGGTCACATGTTCACCACCGGACCCAGGGAGGGGTGTCAGTCTCATGTAACTAGGACAGAGGGTGCGGAAGAGCAGCTCCCCAAAGAAATACTGATGAATTGTTCCCAGAAGAAGAGGACATGATTATCAGCCAGGCAAAAGCACCCAGTCTCAGAACTATGCAAGCTGCCTCCATATCTGTCTCTGCCATTATGCACAAGGGGCTGTCCCCAGAGAAGGGACCCATTTTGTCCAAGATAACACAGCGATTCCATGGCAAAGCTCATAGTTTGGTTAGGCTTAGATTTGCCTATATGTAGTTAAAAAAAAAAAACAATGTGGCATAAACAAGAGAGAGATTTATCTCCTTCTCATATAAAAGAACAATCTGTTGTGGGACAATGCCAGGGACCCCCACCCCAGGCAATTGGACAATAGCACCAGTTTATTTGTGACTTAAAATAACCAGAGAAAAGCACTTATGTCCAGGAAGATGGGCTGTCCCCTGTAACCCGCCCTTTTCTGTATTCATAAAACTTTTTCACATCGCCTGCAGAGCAGGACATTTGCTCATAAAACAAAACCAAAACCAAACCAAAGCCCCCAAGCCTCCAAAAAACTCTAGAAGCAGGCAGTCCTTACTGATCCTGGACTGCTCATCAGGAAGACCCCAGGTCATCGGTCTTTCTCCAGCATCTGAGCATGTGGTTTCCACCATCAAGTCTGCCCCGGTCCAGGGGGGCTGCTGGAACTCCAGCCTGGACCAGCCACCAGGTCTGCACTTAAGACAGCAGGCAGGAGGGAAGGAGGAGGGCAAAAGAGGCCCTCCCAGCTGTGTCTGTGCCACCTGGCCGGCCTCCCTGAAGTCCCACACCACACCCTGATCACATGTCATTGGCCTGCACTTTGTCTTGAGCTGCCCCAGAGATTAGGAACTTTAGTCTTTCTGTTTGTTGAATTGCCACCCAAATTAAAACTGTTGGTTTTTAAGCAAAGGGGGAATGAAAATTGTGGAACTCCATGATAAAGAGAAGAGAGGGTTCTTTTCAGGTGCATGGGGCATCCACAGCATCTCATTCACAGAGCAGAGTCTCAGTTCTAAACTGCAGTGCGTGAGTGGGACCTGTACTTTGGGCTTCCAGCAGAATGATGGGAACCACAGTGCTGGCTTCCCTCTGCTTGTCCCTTATCAGAAGATCTGAGAAAAACCTTTTCTCTTTCATAAATGGGGTGGGTAGAGGTGGGGTTGCAAAGTCTTTTAAGCAAGCAACATGTTCCTAAAAAGCTGAGTCAAAATTATATCTCTGTAAATCAAAGAATAGAATCTGTTGACCCCATGGTGTATGACCCTCTTGGTGCCTATATTCATATACTAGTTAAAATAATAACACACAAAATAAAACTAACAGTTTTATTAAACAGCTTATGGTGAAGTTTATCATTTATTGTAGACTAAAAATTAGAAGAAAAAATATATTTGAAAAACATTTTGATACACATAATTTGACCTCAGAAAAATGACTTGGTAAAAATAATAATCCCTAAAATTTACAATAGCAGAATCCATAGTCAGTAAATTAGAATCTGGGCCAAAAACCAATTAACATAAAAAAATAATGGATCCTGATATAAGTAGTTGCAGTGAATTAATAATTAAAGTAGATAAGCTACAATTGACTTTCTGTACTATCTGTTTTTTCTTAAAATGTCTCACTTTTTAACACTTAAAAGTTAGACTTTATATTTTAGAGCAGTTTTAGATTTATAGACAAATTGAGCAAGCAGCACCAAATTCCTATATATCCCACCCCACCTACCCTGACAGTTTACTCTATTTTTAACATCTTGTAATAGTGTGGTTCATTTGCTAAAATTTATGGACCAATACCGGTCCACATTATTAACAACTGAAATCCGTAGTTTACATTAGGTTTTACTTTTTCTGTCATACAATTTATGAATTTTGGCAAATGCATAGTGACCTGTATCCACCATTATATCATGCAGAATAGTTGTACAATGCTCGGATCCCATGTTTCAGCTATTCTTCTCTCTCTTTCTCCCCCAAACACTGATAACTACTGATCTTTTTACCCTCTCTATAGTTTTGTCCTTTCCAGAATGTCAAAGAGTTAGAAATACATTGTATGTAGCCTTCTCAGACTGGCCTCTTTCGTCTAGCAATATGTATTTAAAGTTTCTCTATGTCTTTTTGTGGCTAGATAGCTCATTTTTTTTATATTGATGAATAATACCCATAATCTGGAAGTATCATGGTTTGTTTTTCCATTCACCTATTAAAGGACCTCTCAGTTGCTTCCAGTTGGGGGCAGTTATTAGTTCCCGTTAAATATCTGTGTGCAGGTTTTTATGTAGACATATTTTCAGCTCTTCTTGGGTAAATATCTAGTAGCACGATTGCTGGATCATATGGTAGGACTATGTTTAGCTTTTTAAGAAATTGGCAAATTGACTTCTGGAGTGGTTGTACTATTTTGCATTCCTGCCAGGAATGTTGTTCCACACCATTGTCAGCATTTGATATATCAGGAGTTTTTTGCATTAATCCTTCTAATGGGTGTTTGGTGGTATTTCATTGTGGCTTTAATTTGCAGTTCCCTAATGATATATGATGTTGAACGTCTTTCCATGTGCTTAATGCCATCTGCTTATCTTCTTTGATATCTGTTCAGATCTATTGCCCATACTTTTTTATTGCCCATTTTTTTAGATGGTTTGTTTGAGGTATTTTTTCTTAAGTTAATGAGTTTGTTTTGTTTCTGAGATTTTGTTTACAAGTTGAGATATTGTTGAGTTTTAGGAGTTCCTTGTGTATTTTGGACATGCTTATTTGCCATCATTACATCATCTTTGCTCAGATGTCTCTTCAGCTCTTCTGCCCATTTTTAAATTTGATAATTATTTGTTTTCTTCCCGTTGAGTTTGAAAAGTTCTTTGTGTATTTTGCATCTCAGTCCTTTATCAGATAATGTGTTTTGTAAATAGTTTCTCCCGGTCTGTGGCTTGTCTTTTCACTCTCTTAATAGTGTCTTTTGCAGAATACAAGTTTTAATTTCAATGAAGTTCAACTAACAATTTTTCTTTCATGGATCAAACTTTTGGTATTTTTATCTAAAAAGTTACAAACCAAAGGTTACCTAGATCTTCTCCTATGTTATATTCTCCTGTGTTAT